ACCAGTAGGTAGGTTTAAATTTCAAACTTGAAACGTTTGTCGAATCGCGGTGGCTCATGTTAGTGGTATTTATCTCTACTTTGTTATATTAAGTTTAAGGTTCAAATTTCATGTACATGTGTGTGTAGGGAGGGTTGCCCCTCTCTTGTGTATTGAGTTTGGCACTGTCAGGCTGTTGTCAACTTGGTTTCAGGTGGATATATGTGTACATCATTCATTTCGCAAGCTAGATCACGCTATAACTCCTCCCACCCCCGAAACACAGATGAGATTGAATTCCAATTTTTTTTCGTTTTTTAAATTTGTAAAGTTGTACAGAACTTTCAGTTTTATTTTTATTTTTTATAACATGATTTTTATTTTTCTGTAAACCCTAAACCCTTAATTATCATTTATGGTTCAAATTCCAGTAATGATATCAGAGGCAGACAAGGTCCAGGTCATTGAAGTTCTTGAAGGCTGCATTGCCCTAAAGCTTGCAAAATCTTTTACTGGTTTGAGAGTGCGCCACAGTGTGTTGTCGACATATCTTAGCTATTACAGGATAGGAATGAATACACTCCATGGCCGATACAATTCCAATTATTTTATCTGAACAACCACCTAGTAGGAAAATCAGAGTTAAATATGGACGAAACTACACGTTATTAATGAGGTGTTTCTTTATTTATGGCAAGTTCATATGAAATTTTAGCCGTTGTTGTGAGTGCCCTATGAGCTAGGTTAAGTGCTGCATGAAGGTTTCAAACATGGTAGTCAAATGCGATTTTTTTTTCTTGTTTTCAGAAATTTATGTTCATAAATGCTAGCAACATGCTGGCAGTTAATTTTTCATGGTTGTATAAGTTTGCTTTTTTGTTTATAAATGGAAGGCAATGATGAGATACTTGGAAGTTACCTGATGCTTATGTACATCTATAATATGGATATATAAATCAGAAACTCAATTTAGGGAAAGTGGTATGTGTTTTATACACTGAAATGAAAGACTCAAAATGTTTGGCCATAAAAAAAGGACTCAAAATGTCATTTAATTTTTGCAATTGCATTCTAATTACATTTAGATTAAATTGTATATAATTAATTGGGGATTTCTTTTTAGTTTATACAATTGACTTATTCTTGTACAATTAGGTTTTATTACCTTTCTTTATGTACACATATGTAACCCTATATATACCTCCTTAGAGCACTTTCATCCGTTGTGCCATGGCAAAGGGCAAGTAAGGGTAGACACTATTCATGTCAATAGTGACTGCCTTATCAATTTTTTTTATGCATTCTCACCCATTGCCATGGGAACCTAAGGACAACCACTATTCACATAGGATATGAGGAGAGGAATTTGTATGGATTTTGGTGTGGGAAGTGAAGAACATGGCTAGGTATTTATAGAAGAAAAAAAATCTGAATTTTTTGGTATTTAAATTGGTCGCTGACATCACATTGACGTCAACTTGCCCAGTTTCATGGCCCACTTCTTGCCATAACAATTTTTCTTAGGATCAAGGTTGTTTTTAGAGCCTAAGCCCCCTTTTGCCATGGCAAAAGGAGATGGGGTGGAAGTGCTATGTGACCTTGAATTTGTGTTTCAACCTTAGCCGTATCACTTAATGAAAATTAAATCTTTGTACAGCTGACTTATCCAAATTTCATATCATCAATCTTCTTATTTTTAGATATCTATACGCATTAATTTATAATCCCGCAAACTAAAAAAGGGAAAAAACAGAAGAAGAAGAAATTGAAGTACAAGAGCCATGCGACAAGATTGTCAAATTTTACCAGCAAAAACTTTTGCCTTCGCCGCATAATTATCACCGAAAGTGGTTTGTGCCTTATTATTAGTGGTGGCACAAGTGTCATGTAAATTTAAATCCATGAAATGAAACAGACTCACACTGTTATAATCACCCTTACCAAAACAAGTATTTTTTAGTGTTCTAGATTCTGGAGGGGTTCCCACTATTAGACCTTTCCAATTGATTTGATCTCTTTTCTCAACCGAACGTTTGTACGTTATTACTTTGCGAACGCTATTATAAATGGGGAGTAAAATATAAATGGATGGTAAAAAATATATGATGAGAAAATATATATTTATAGGGTTTAGGGAAGGAAGATTGAGATATGGAAGGTGCAGTGTTTTTGCATGAAACAAACAAACAACCGAATTTATGCATCCAATTTGCAAGTTGCAATTTGATGGGGTGAGAGTGACAAGCTGAGAACTTTTCCAATTCACATCACCAAAACAACAGATTATTACGTAACTGAATTTTGCTATATAGAGAACTTGGTCACTACTGAACCAGGCTACCATATCATCACGTCACATACGTATTGGTATTACTCTCTCTCTCTCTCTCTCTCTCTCTCTCTCATGCCAATATTTTAACCCACACGACCCAATAACACCTCACATTTCCCTCTTCTAATAATTTTCTTCCATCGACTTCACTTGATGAACTTTCTGTTATATGTAATTTCCTCAAAAAACATAATATATATGTCATTTGCTTCGCAGAGGTGTCAAAATGTTCACAGAAAGAATCATCAGATGAGGAGTTCATGAAATGTATCAAGTTTCATATGAAAAAAGATTGTATAGAAAAGTCCAAAAGACTCTAGCGTTAGTGTGATCTTGGTAAGTGAGATGTTTCTTTCTTTTTAAGTTCATCTAAGCATTCAGTTGAGGCTTACAAACTAGGTTAACTATAAGAAAGTATAAAGATGGTAGTCAAAATAATTTTTTATTATTTATTTTTTGTTCATTTTGCAAAAATGATGTTGATCAATGTTTTTTTCTTTCAACGAGCAGCCAATGTCCGTCAATTTGTCATGATTATAATGTTTTTTTTTCTCTTTTTCGGTTCGAATGGCAGGAAAATGATGAGATATGTGGACCTTGACGATGCTCATGTATGGATCTTTAGTTCATAAGTGCTTTTGTTAGAAACACTTTTGTTGGAAACGCTTATTACAAGAATGTCGAAATGTTTGTTATAAATCTAAGTGCTTCCTGAAAAATAATTAATTGTAAATGCTTCATATATAAAGCATATGTGTGGTGCTTCTATGACCATAAGCATTTTCAAATTATTCTGTTAGTTGCCAAAAAACACTTTTATCTCTTCTAGAAGCACTTGTCATATGTTTTTGGTTTAAAAATTAGTATTTATTGCTTCTATGCTTTTTAACAAGGAAAATGGTATTAAGCTTGGGCCATTTTCTCAATGACTACATAGGGGGTGCCAGCACATCTGCTTGAATTTTCTGCTATCTAAGCAACTATTTATTATTATTATTATTATTTTAATAATATACTAAACTCACACTACACTAGGGTTGCCCGGCAAATCTGCTTGAATTTTCTACTATCTAAGCAACTATTTATTATTATTATTATTATTTTAATAATATACTAAACTCACACCACATTAGTGGGTCCTTTGCTAAGCTCCTTACTCAAGTTTTATTAGTGCGATCAGAAAATGCTCCATCTTCCTCACTTTCTGCTTCACTTGTTCTTGACCATTTTGTTTCATTAACTACACTTAGGAAGATTGTATGTAACGGCCCAAAACGCTTAAGCATTAGTGTAATTGCAAAATTCTATAGTAAGGGTGCAATCTAACATACATGCATTTACATATAATAAATATCTATATAATTCTTAGAAACTATAGAGGGATCTTAAACTGTATTAAAAATTAATGCATGGAACCTGGCACCATGTTTCGATATCTCGGGAATCTGAAAATTACATGAGTAATTCTTCATGGACATGAACAAGGTGCGATAGATCGCCCTTTTGATTTTAACATCACAATGGAAAGCTAGCATTGATATCAGACCCAGTAATGCTATCTCAAAGTACTTACAGCATCAGTAACTTCAAAATTTACCTCACTATGAACATGGCATGGTATCAAAATATTATCAATTCCTTGTTCTCGAGCTTTTTCGTTGAAGCTAAAGCCCAGACGTGGAAGCTTTCTAAAGGCGTTCCATGTTCTGCTATACCACCATAATATCTGGATAGGGGAGACTAGTTAGTATAACAAGAAATGAATTCAAATAGAGGAGGAAGTAATGCTACTACAGTTCACATTTTGAAACACATCCTTCTCAAACAGTGGAAGCTGATCAACTATGCAGTAGCAGCTTGAACTACATTACAATGAAGAGTTGGATTCAAAATGCCAGATCTTCGTATATGCTTCAAGTTTATTAGATCCAATCCTGCGTGCTTGCAATTCTATTCCAGCATTGCCTTCAAACCAATGGCGTCAACTGGAGACTCAAATAACTTCACTGAAGCCTTCAACTCATACCACAAATCATCTCACATGCTGATTTGATCTATAAATAGTCAGGAAAAGAAAAACTCAACTAAACCAAAAATGCAAGAAAAACTTCAAGGATAACCAAACCAAGAGAGCTTGAGAACGTCCAGTTCTTGCAAACATATACAATAAGCAGTAGCCAATAATTTTCTGATAATTTATTATTCCTCCTTAGGAAGTATTAATCGCTATGCTATCTAAAGTATTTCCTGACTAATCACCAGGCAATTGCATAATTGAATAGGAACTATACAATGTAAACCAGAAGAATATTCTTTTTGTTGGACATGATGAAACAGAACTGCTAACAGAAAACACCGATCAACTTCACTTCAAAAATTGTTAAACATAGGCAACCCAAAATTGGAAATGTAATTTCCACATTACTATCATCAAGCTAGATGAAAGAATTTTAGACACAAAGGATCTAGAAACTTATATGTTGTCAAGCCAAGGTTCTCTATTATCAACCTTTTCAAGAAACACTGTGTAACGTTTATTTGCATCATCTAAATAAAACACCAACCTCTGTACTAAAATAATAATTGAAATAATAGAATAAGAAGGCCATCTATCTAGACGGAAAACAGAGTTTCACCATCGGGAACAAAAGCGATTCCCTATATCAGTCTTGTATGACAACATTGTAACTTAAATGTTCTCAGTTGCAAAGAGTTTTTCATTGTCATTTGTCCATTTTAAAACTATTGTGGTTCCACTATTCTCCCAAGCTATGGAGCCTGGACCATGGTATATGTCCCGTTGATAAGAGAACAAACTTCCTCTCAACTTCATTATCAATTAAAGAAAAGAGCCCAGCATGTACCTGTAACACCAGGAATCCCTTCATTCCCACAGACATTCTTTCCATAGTCAGTACCCACAGCTTTTTGTAAAAGAAAAACTTTACCTTTCAACCTTTCTTCACTGAACCCATGTTTGCCTAGTGCTTTCTCTTGCTACTTCTCACGAAGCAGATGTCTTCCAAAATGTGCTTTTCTGATTTTATCTTGGAATTTGAAGTACCCAAGACCCAAAGGACCTCATTACCCTCAGCAGGTTGGACATAAATGCTTGGGACATCATATAAAAGGACTACTCATTTATCATTTCTTTTTTCTTCCCAAACACCACAATAATGGTGACCATAGTGCAAAAGACCGCTCATATATTCACAGTCCATTGCATACTGCTGCTAAGTGGTCATTTAAACCATTCAAAACAACGTAAAGTTCTTTTCTTTGCTCATGCCTTGTGTCATGGGCTAGGAACTCATGGATCTTGTTCCCCATTTGGATTGAGCTACAACCAGGAACCTTTTCTATTCCCTGCTGTCTCATGACTTGCCTATAGGTCAACACATCTTTCCATTGTCCCATTGATGCACTCAAATTTGAAATAAGAGTTAAATAGCTGGGATTTGCAGGCTCCTGCTCCATAATCCGTCTGGTTAGAGATTCCAACAGATCTCCATTTCCATGAATCTTACAGGAACCTAGTAGACTGGCCCAAATGACAGCATTTGGCTCCAAATGCATGTTTTCTACAAACATGACTGCTTCTTCCAACTTCCCTGCCCGACCTAGAAGGTCAACCATGCAACCATAGTGCTCTATTCGGGGTTTGATGCCAAACTCTTGTTCCATCTGATCAAAAACTCTTTTACCCTCTTCCACAAACCCTCCATGAGTGCAAGCTGACAGAACAGCAATAAAAATGACATCATCTGGTTTAGTTCCCTCTGAACACATTGTATCAAAGAGAGCTATGGCTTCTCTGCACAACCCATTAACAGCTAGACCTGACACTGTCGTTGTCCATGTAATTATACACCTTTTAGTCATCTTTTTAAAAACTGCTTTTGCATTTTCTACATGTCCACACTTTGCAAACATGTCTATTAGCGCATTCCCTAGGGGAACAGACAAGTCAAACTTGTTTCTCTCAATATAGGACTCAATCCATTTTCCATGTTCTAGGGACCCCAAGTGAGTGCACGCGGATAGTAAGCTAATCAAAGTACTCTGATCAGGCCTGCACTTGCCGTCTATTAACATCTTGCGAAACACACAAAGAGCTTGATCAAACATGTGGTTATGAACATAACCAGAAATCATGGCATTCCATGATACAACATTTTTAAAAGGCATCAGATTGAATATGTTCCATGCAGATTCAAGATCTCCAATCATGCTGTATCCCGAGACCATGGCCCGTCCAAGAAACTACTGTTTTCTTGGGCATCTGCTCAAATAAACACTGCGCAGACTGGACATCACCCAACCGTATATACGCAGTTATTAATGAATTCCACGTAACTTCATTTCTTTCTGGCATCCTCTCAAAAACTGAATGAGCTAATTCCATATTTCCAGCCTTGGAAAGACCAGAAACAACACAATTCCATGTCACAGTGCTCCTATCTGGCATTGAATAAAACAACCTCATCGCAGGTTCTATCTCACCATGGGCCATGTAAGCAGCAATCATCGAATTCCAGGAAACCACATCTCTTTCGGGCATTTCACCAAACACCTGGAAAGCCAAATCCAAACGACCTCCGCATTTAGCATAGAAATCCAAAAGGGTATTCTGAACAAAGACACTAGAACCAAAACCCATTTTGACAACGTCACCGTGAACCATTGTCCCATCTTCAAGGGCCTCGAAAGATTCACAGCACCTAAGAAGAAAAGTGAAAGTGAAACTGTTGGGTACAATCCTAAGCGCCTTCATTCGATCGTAGACGCGCAATGCATCTATACGAGCCTTTCCTACAGAGCATTTTATCAATGTGTTGTAAGCGACAACATTGGGGCAACAAGAATTTCGAAAAACAGAATAAGCATAATGAAGAAAACCCAGTTCTGAGGAGAGAGTGAGGAGCTTGGGAAGCAAAAAGCTGTTATCTTGCAGCCCATGGACGAAAATCTGAAGGTGGGTCTGCTTCAGTTCTTTGAGAGACCTGCACTCTTGCAAGATTTTAAGCAATTTGTGATGCATTGCGATTGTTCTTCATTCGAAAGACAGTTATTCTCGTTACACGAACGGGAAAGTATAGTAAGGCATTTTATTTGGTTTTGTAAATGTCACACTTTTTCTATTTCTGTTTTTTACCTTTCTTTCTTTTTTGTTTTTGGGTCCTCAGTGTGTAACATTACTATCACTTCTCCCAAATACTCTGTAGGGTTTGAAGATTAAGTAATCTAATGTTACTTCAAAATATTGTGTGTTTTTAAAAGGTGAAATGAGTCTTTGCTAAGAAGATAATGACATTACAATAACAATATGTAGTTGAAGAAAGTAATATAATTAAACGCACAGGTTTTCATTGAAAACAATCTGGTATTGCAATAGTACATATTTCCTCTCATCCTTGCAAGTGCAGAGAACACACATTATATCTTGCAAGGACAGTTTTTTTCTTTATTAATATTGTTTACAAGTGCCAAGCATAAAGAATCATACATTAATCGCCTAAATTTTACAACTAGAGAGGAAATATCATCTGTGTGGTCATAGCCCGGCATCACCTTCCATACAGGATAATTGGAAGTTAGGCCAAATAGAAGCCATTTGGGCTTTAAATTTGATTTGGGCATTAAATATTATATAGATAATATTTAATATTTAATTATAAAAAAGATGGGCCTTTGGGCGCTTGGTCACTTCAGATTTAAATTACAGAAGATGGATTACTCAGTCGTCGTTGTCGTTGTTGTGGTGAGGTAAACATGTCATTTAGGAGAGGGAGAAGAAAAAAGAGAATAAGGGGCGGGAAAGGAAAAGAGACTTAGCTGCACCACTATACTAAAAAAAAAAAAAAAAAAAAAAAAAAAAATAGTCGCCGCGTGGCTTTACTAATATTTTTACGTATAGCCGCGCGGTTATACTATTTAAATGTTCGAATATATTTAAAACGCATAGTTGCGCCGCTGTACTTAAAAATAAAAATAAAAATAGTATAGCCGTGCGGCTATACATACTAATTTTTTAAAAAAATTAGTATAGGCGCGCGGCTATACGATTTAAATGTTCGAATATATTGAAAACGCATATCGCCGCTACACTTAAAAATAAAATAAAAAAAGTATCGCCGCACGGCTATACTATAGTAGTATAGCCGCGCGGCTGTACGTAAAAATAAAAAATAAAAAATAGTATGGCTGGGCATTTCCTCGAATGCAGTAATGTATTTGGATGAAAGTGAAACTATTTTTTATTCTTACAAAAATGCAGTCATTGCAGCAAACATAAACAAATTGGCTGAAAAAGAAAATCAACTAACTTCCGACAACAGACTCAGTAAAGAAATAACTTGAGAACCAAACAACAAACTCAGTAAAGAAATAACGTAATAAAAAATACATAACACTTCAAAAATTCATGATGAAAAAAATAACAAAACCCATGATTTCATAAAATGAACGACCAAAGAAAGAAATATGAGACTTGTCGCAACATCTCTCTGTTTTCTCTTCAAAGTATTCTCTGCAAAAGAGTGAAGAACAAAAAACGCCACCATGTCATTTGAATTCGTAGAACAAAACCTAATACATTTTATCAAACACCTACCCTGCGAGTTAACCGTGAGAGCAAACACCTTCCTTTTTCTCGGAGTTGCAGAAACTGTTGTTCTTGATAACCAATGAAAACAGGGAAATTATAATAGAGAATCCAAGAAAGATGGAGGGTATTCAATCCACATCCTCGACCTCATCAATTTGCAGCAACGTTGCTTGATTACAAGTTGGTGGAACCCAACACCCAATTGAGGTGGACCAAAGTCGTTTGCCAGGGAGAAAAGAGAACTTGCAAACCAACACCCAATTCAATGAACCAAAGTTATAGCCAATCACAAATGGCTCAGTCTCCATGAACAACTTCGACTCAAAGTTGGGTTTTTGGGGTTAAACTTTTCTGGGTATCATGAAAGTTTGAGGATTTGGTGACAAAAAATCAATATTTTTCAATTATTTTTCTAGGGCGTATTTTTTGTGGGTTTTAGCTTGGTTTCATGGCCTTATCCATGTCTGGTGTCTCAAATCAAAAGCACGTCAAACAAAGACATGAGTTCTTCTGCAACACAAATTCGAATCTAAGTCCTGCAAATTGGTCTTACCTTATACGAAATCATCTCTCTCAAGGATCACCTAGACAAGCGCTTCTGGTTTACACCCGAGTTCGGCATCAGGGAATCTACATTGTAGGCCTACTCCCTTTGATTCTCAAGGCTTGTGCTTCTCTTTCCTCCATAAATCATGGGAAGGCATTGCACGCAGAGTCTATCAAGTCTGGTATGAATTGTGATGTGTTGGTTGGTACCTCGTTAGTTGACATGTATGCGAAATGCGGGGATGTTTTTGAGTCCCGGAAAGTGTTTGATTATATGCCTGAGAGAAATGTGGTGGCTTGGAATGCAATAATTGGAGGGTACTTGAGAAGTGGGGATACAGCGTCTGCAGTTTTCTTGTTTGAGAAGATGTCAATGCGGACATCTGTGACTTGGATTGAGATGATCGCTGGGTTTGCGCGAAGTGGGGACACTGTGACTGCTAGGCGGTTTTTTGATCAGGTTCCACCTGAGTTGAAGAATGTGGTTACGTGGACTGTGATGGTTGAGGGGTATCGTAGCAATGGGAAGATGGAGGCAGCAAGGGAGGTTTTTGAGGCAATGCCACAGCGCAATTTCTTTGTGTGGTCATCAATGATTTCCGGGTATTGCAAGAAAGGTGATGTTAGGGAGGCCAAGTTCATCTTTGATAGAATCCCAGTCCGGAACTTGGTGAACTGGAATTCTTTGATATCCGGGTATGCACAAAATGGGTTTTCTGAGGAGGCTTTGAAAGCATTTGGGAAGATGCAAGCTGAAGGCTTTGAGCCAGATGAAGTTACTGTTGTGAGCGTTTTATCTGCATGTGCTCAGTCTGGGCGTTTAGATGTTGGCAAGAATATACACGATATGTTAGGTCATAAAAGGATAAAGCTTAGTCAGATTGTTCTGAATGCACTTGTAGACATGTACGCAAAATGTGGCGATTTGGTCAATGCAAGGTTGATCTTTGAGGGGATGACTGAGAGGAACAGTGTCTGTTGGAATGCTATGATTTCAGGTCTGGCCATTCATGGACAGTGCAAGGAGGCTCTTGAACTATTTCACAGAATGGAAGATTCAAATGAAAGGCCTGATGACATAACCTTTATTTCTGTTCTGTCGGCTTGTGCGCATGGAGGTTTAGTGAATGAAGGCATAGAAATTTTCTCCAAGATGGAGAAATATGGTTTGGCAGCGGGGATTAAACATTATGGATGCCTGGTTGACCTTTTGGGACGGGCAGGAAGATTAAGAGAGGCTTATTCTTTAATCAAGAGAATGCCAATCAAACCCAATGGCATGGTTTGGGGGGCTATGCTGGGGGCTTGCCGGATTTATATGGATATGGAGATGACTGAACAGGTAGTAAAGGATATTAGCACCCTAGATTCAAATATTGGGTCGGGTGATAATTTACACTATGTGCTTCTGTCAAATATTTATGCTGCTTCCGATAGATGGGAGACGGCTGAAAGGACAAGGATTGCCATGGCAAATGAAGGCTTTCAAAAGACACCTGCTCACAGTGCATTTGTGGCCAGCGGCACATAGCATGTCTTTCGTGTGCCTCTTCTTGGTAAATCATTGCTTTGTGGCAGATCATGACCACTAAGAAATTACCAAAATTGATTCAAATCATAAGCGCAACTCAAACATACAAATTGTGCGGTGGCTTAAGACGAGAGGATTTTGCATGGTGGTAGCTCCCGTCCCATTAGTTCATGTCAGAGTAGAGTTGACTGAGTTAATTTTGGTGATAAAACAAGATGCTTAGTTCCAATGAAATTAGGCACCAGTTGCTCAAACAACCTGATATAATGTACAAAGAATTGATTGGCATCAGAATGTCAGGCTCAACCATTGTTAAAAACAAAAGTGGAGTCGTCAAATCTTGGATTATTTAGGCATTGAATAAAACAGGAGTGGCAGCAGCTTCTGGATACTTCTGAACATGAAATCACTGCAAGGGTTCTTAAAAAGCCTTTAGCAAAATGGATTTTGCACATTCAACACAATTGTGCTGGTTTTCAGTTACAAAGAACTCATTTACGCTGCAGAGACTTATTATTTTCCCCTTGTTGTGTATATTACAAGTATGAAAATCAAAATGAAGAACATTATCTTTATGCTACCTCAGGTGACAAAAAATCTCAGTTAGACGACACGAAAGGAGTCGGCTATTTTTTTCAAATCCTTGTAATGCCTCTTCCACTGAAGACCTACAAATACAAACCAAGTATACAGTTAATTTTGTCTTCAGTTATGGCTATTGAATATATATATTTTTTTCATAGTTAAAAGCATGCTGAAAGAGTCTACGTATCCTTACCACTTCCGGTCACATTAAACAAGTACAGGCGATTCCCAGCTGCAGTTGCTGTAATCAGAACATGAGGCGGCTCCAACTCATACTGGTAATATGTTCTTCCAGAGTCTTGTACAACATTTATGCTCATAACCTTCCCTTCAACATTCTCCCCAATAACTTCCGGTCCAAATGCATTGATCACTGTCTCTGGACGTCCAATTTTTTCAATTGTGGCATCTCCATCAAGATCTGGGCATAACAAGCAGAGTTTAAAAATCAATATCTAGAGACTGACTTCGGGACATGCATCCAAGGGCACTTGCCCAATTGCAGAAAGAAAGGAGAAAAACTAGATTGTATCAAAACTCACTATCTGCAAATCTCAGGACAGGGGCAACAATGACAGAGAGGCGCCCCTCCTTGGAGCTACCGAATCTCAAATCGATCTCTGTACCACCTAGATCTGCTATTGATACAGGAACCTGTTGCATGGTAAAGCAGACAGATAAGTAAACTTGTGGCAGTTTTCAGACAGAAGGTAAAGCATGTGCAAACTTAAGCTCATGTTTAAATCTTTCATTTTGTTTAGCAATACAAGTATCATGTACCAATTTAAGCTCCCAAGTTTGATGGATTAGATTGCTACCTCTTCCCAATCTTGAGGAACTGAAAAGAGATAAGGGATGATAGGGCTCCAACCAACGCCATGACCTCCAGACTTTTCATCCGGTCTGCGGTATGTCCTCCATCCTGTCTAAGCATATACTTCTCAGTGAATGAGACCATATACTTGAAAACAAAAACAGAGAAAAGCAACTGTAATTTGCAGGACCATTCTTTTTTCAGCTTTGTAAACTGTTCAGTTTTAGAAAGGGCAGTCTATGCATGATTTTTAACTCATTGTGGGCTCTGCATATTATAATTATGATGTCCAAATTTATGCAATATGCACATAACACAATGCCATATTACAACTAGAAAGAATGTTAGAATTAGAAGAGGGTAAATCTTATAATCTTTTTTTTTCTTCTTGCTTTTATGATATTTGAACTCTTGTTTGTTGCTATCAGAAGTGTAAGATGAAGGATACCAACCTTGTTCATCTGGTTCAGACAGACCGGGAATCCTGCCTGCTAGAAGACCTTGTTTTACCACTGCCAAGCCTTCCCTTGGAAAACCCAATACTGCAGAAGAAAACAAAGAAACTCCTGCAGACAGCACTGATCTTCTCTTCAAAATCCCAGAAAAGTTCTCAGCTTCTTCATCAACCAAACCATTCTCTGCTTTTGTCCTACAAGTTCCATGTTCCAATGAAGATTGAACAACAAAACTCTGGGAGGGGACTGCTTGCGGCTGATAAGTCCAGCAAAAGCTGCCACTGGTAAGTAAAGCTGTTCTCATTTCCTCAACCACTTCAGAAATGGAAGAGAAGTGAGATACTTGTAGACTTCCTGTAATTTTTTTAGTTTGTGTTCAGAAAATTTAAGACCAATAAGAGAATGTTGTAGAAGTTGAGGTTCCCAGTTGCTTCTGATTTTTTGTAGCATTTGTGGTGCAGAAATCCCTGCGATTTTTTCCTAATCGTTTTAAGACTGACACGTGGCATTCTATATCTCTTGTGTTGTTATTTATCTCTTTGGCGCTCACCTTTTACTTCTGGTCGTCAACCTTATGTCTCCAAGTTGAAATTAAATTGAGTAGTTGATCCCTCACTTACGCAAGAAAGTTATTGGTTTTGCAAGCGTTACATGTTATTTCTTACTCTTATCAATAAAATACTAATAAATAAATAAAATAAACAAATTTCTAACACTCAAGTAATCTTGAGAAGACAAATATCATAAGCATTTTTTTAATGGCGGAAAGCTCTTTTTTTATTTATTTATTTATTTATAATTTTTATAACAAAGAGAATTCATTTATAGAACTAATGACATACAAAGAACGATATGATACAGTGACCTCATTAAAACCTTCCTAGGACAACCTCATGAGACAAACCCTAGGGGAGGAAAGAGTACCGTACATGTCATGAACTAACAAGAGAGTTCGATTTAGGTCACTTTGGACCATTACAATAAAAGAACAAATCAAAAACAAAAACTAACACATAGACCTCCAACGAGAATCGCAACTATAGACCAACACAGTAGACCCACATGAGAGGACCACAGAACATCCCAATTGTCAAAAGAAGCATTTTATGAGCAAAATTATAGTCATTTGACACCCACACAAACTGCAAGGCATACCATAGCAAAAACCGAGAGAGCACACGTAGGAGGAACACATAAACAATAGTAAAAGGACCCCTAAGAAGCACTCCACTTCAACTCAGAACTGGACAAAAAAAACCTCCTATGACCAAGCATAGTTCTTTGGTCAGCGCAGAGTAGAAAAGATCACCACATCCCAACAACTACCACCAGTGTGGTTGCTGCCGCTGTCATTGAAATAGAGACAAAACATCAGCCACCAGGTATCACAACTCTCCCGAGCAAAGACACAATCCAACATCACCACATAAACAACAATAAAAAAAAATCTTGAGCTGGGGAATTCCAATTTTATTTATTTATTTATTTTCGGTCAAAAGGGGAATTCCAACATAGACCTCTTTCAATATTGAGAAGTTAGTGACTTTTTAAGATAAGATTGATAAGTTTATCCCCGGGATCCTATATTTTAGAATAGTAGTTTTTTTTATTAATACAGGCGACGATGGAGGAGGGGAGAATCGGACCTAGGACTTCAGGCAGAGGGATAAATGCTGTTACCTACAACCCTCTAATTTTTCAATTGGTCCCCTTCTTTTTTAATAGACTTTTTAATTTTATTTTAATGAATTCTCTACTAAAAAGTTGAAATGCACCAAGAGCCACTTGATATATCTTTCTTTTTTGAACTTGTAAACAGACACTTGACTGAAGAACCATAATTGATTACCACAAGGTCAAATTTTCAGATGGCTCTCTGAATTTCAAGAATGCATGCGTACTCGTTGTGTCACTTGAACCATAAGCTAAGATCAGTCACTTGACTATATTGATTTACTACTTTAATCAAAATAATCACCGAATGCTTTCCTTGAAATTAAAAGTTTCTCATAATTAACTAAGAAATAATTAAGTACAAAAATGATTTTTCTTAATTTGTCTATAAAGGTAGTGTTCTTATTTTCGTGGAAGTAACGAATTGAGAGAATTGTTATGGGGGAACTCATGGTGATAATTATGATGGTGATGATAAGTGTTATTGTGCTTATCTCGTCAGTATCACTAGAAGCTACTGATCATAACCCTCTTAATTTCTCTTCACTTGCTTCTAATTCTAGTGCAGACTTTTTAAAGTTAAAAAATTTCTCCAAAAGATGGAGGAAATTGCAAGAAAAGGTTCTAGGAAGAAAAATAAAGTCGAATTACGTAAAGAATATATCAGCGAAGCCTTCCTCTTCACTTTGCACCTAAATTGCATTCACCCTGAGGTGGTCTTAACTTGAGAAGCCTTTCTCTTCAAGGAAACCATTCTTCTAGCTAGGCAATTTGATTCTAAAACAATACTTGAAGACCTTGACCCCAAGACAAACAAAATCGATGATGAGCACAAATGCTTTTTCTATTTCAAAATTGGTATAAAGACCATTGGATCCAAAATCACATGAATCGTCAAAATTGACCCACAGGACTCATTTTAGTAGTAAGAAAAACTCATTTAACAAAGACGGAAATACCGAATATATCCGCGAATCTACAACCGGTGGTAAGTATAAGGCTATTCTCATTTCCTCTACCCACTAAAAACACCCAACAGCCACCCTCCCCCTCCCCACCTCTCTGGGCAGGCCGGAGGTTTATTAAGGGGATGGCTTTAACAGAAAAGCTTGGATGGGGGCTTTGAGAGAGAGAGAGAGAGAGAGAGCAAGAGAGAGACGGGCAATATTTTTCTGATAGGAGATGTTCTGTAGTATGTAAAGTTACCTGGAACTTTTCACTAGACTAAAAAGATATATCAATAAACTGTATACAACAAATATTTAGTTATGAATAAAAAAAATCAACATATGAACTTTTGAAAGATACAGAGACTATACAAAGAGGCTGTATAGATCAGCATTCCATGCATAATCTGAGAATCAAGGCAAAGGCATTGGAGGTCTCCAATCGGAAAACTGTACCAAGTTTCTATTTACAACAGATCCATTGTGCAGCCAGAATGTTTCAGTTGACTGGTGAAACAGCCTGACTTTCCTCTGAAGTTCCCAAAGAATTGCATGCATTGCAGAGCATGAAGCTGATTCAGAAGCATAGGCCCATAAACATCTTACTTGTCTGCCACGGCTTATCATCCCCTCTATATTTTCATCTGCAGCAGAGAAAAAACAAAGAATCAAAACATAAGAAATTGGACAGAAGTTTTTGCAATGATATGCTGAAATATGGATTGACCAGAACAAGATGTAAATGGATTGCTACATTTGACCTGGTATTGACTCTAGGTACTGCAAAAACTCGGGACCTATTCGAGTGGACGGCCATTTAATTGATATCTGGGTGTAGTCAACAACATTCTGGAAAGGCAATTCAACTTGATCTGATAATATCACAGGGACACACTCCTGTAGCAGCAAGAAAAGCATTATTTCTACAGATCTAATATCTTATGTGCAGGCCTAGAGAGAGAGAGAGAGAGAGAGAGAGAGAGAGAGAGAGAGACCACAAAGAAAGCCTCATAAAAACGAAGAGTCCAAGATGACTCCCCACGTGGAGCAAGGCAGAACTTGGCGTTGCGCAGATGTTCAAAATAATCTATCCTTCCCAATTTGTCAGGACCACTGAACTTCAGCTCTGGACATTCCAACTGTTTATAATATTAACAGACATATTTTGAATATCTCTCTCTAATAACAGTGTACAAGAATTAAAGTAATGTAATCATGTCCAATGAGACTTAATGATAATGATATGGCCATGGTGATCAGCCATTTTAACCCAAAAACAAACAGAAATTCCACCCAAAAAACAAAACAAAGCAAAAAACACATAAAATAAAGGAAAAGGACCAAGTTGTTAACACAATGCAAATTCTAGTAAACTCACAGCTAAAAGCCAAAGCCCATGGTCAACTGTTTAGTTTGAAGTTCAAAATCCAAGCATTAACAGGACTGACGGTTGGTGAATGAAGTTACTATTTGTGTGACTGCTAGCTCTTCAATTTCAGCATATAAACATGTCAAAGATTATATAGAAAACATCCGTACTTAGTACTTACAAGTTCTAACTACTTATGTCCATTCATAATGCTTTTCAAGTAAATGCGCCAAATGGGCTTTCTGCTTTATTCCACAAAGTTTTAAAAAAGTGGATTACAGAGTATCTTTTCTACAGCAAATACCCATAGCGTAGATACAACTCAATAAATATCTCAAACTTCAAACTTGAATTGAACTCGACATCAAAGGTGGAAACTAGATAAGATGCATGAAATTCCACAATTGAGATAATCTCATTCAGCCAATTCAGGTGTCATACCTTATCTGGAAATTGTTTTGAAAGCTCTATCAACTTAAGACGGCCAACCTTTCCTTGTGCACGGCCTAAATAGTTTGCTAAAAACTTCCGTTTTGACAATGGCAAAGGATGAACCAAGGTGGCCCCATTTGTAGTCATCCCGTCCTCAACATTCCCAGGAATAATGATATCTTTCCACGTATTGAAGGCACTTGTATCTTTCTTATCAGTGCGATCACCCTGCACTAACATATAAATTACGCATCTTTTATGTATTTTCCCTCTCATAAATAATCTTTTAATAAAAGCTTGCAACAGAACAAACTACAATCGATGTATCAATTCCATTACCAAAGTGCTTCAAATGTGGTAACACAGGCTAAAAAAACTTCTTGTCCTGTATAAGGAACATATATGATTTAGAATATAAAAATTATGGGAGAAAATAGTGATGATGACACAAGTCCAAAATTTGTTTTCCAATTGATAAATCCTTTCAGGTGCATTCTTCTATATAAAATAGTAAAACGAAGTGGGTGGATGTATCAACACCTCCTATCAATCGTCTCTCAAGAGTTATCAGTTTAAATATACCATCGTTTTCTCTGCATTTGCATTCCGAACATAAGTTCCATTTCTCAATTGTTTTTTTAACCTTTCCTTCTGCTCTTATTTAATTGGATTGGATAAATATACTAACATTTTATGCTTATCGAGCATAACACTTTTTTCTGGTAACAAAAAACAAACAAAAAAAAAAAAACTTTTTATATGTAGGAGTTGGAAATATTTTTATCAGACAAAAAATTGTTTGAGATGGTAGAATATTATTGTCCCTAGACCTAGACATGAAATGAACTAGAGTAACAATTGTTTATAACATTCTACTAAAGCAATCTCCAAAGATTCTTTTTCTTGTACAATAGAAAAATTTATTCTTACATGATAATATTTATATCAAATTGTATAAATAATATGCAAGGCATGTGTTGACAATCCTATACATCATACAGGTTTCAGACTAATTTTAATGTAGACTTTAAATCCAAAACCCATAAAAGTTCAAACCAGATTTCTCATGCACAATGTCACACGTAGAACTCCTATAGAAAAATATCAGAAGTAAAACAGACCCACTCTGTGCCCCTTGCATGAACAGATTCTTAACATGGACATTTATGACCACTGTGTTTAAGGCCCAAATTGACTTGACACTAAATAGCTGAGTCCTTATAATGGGAATTTTAGTCAATCAGTAGCACTATTAAATTTGTAAAATAACTTAAGCATAAAGGATGGAATAAGTAAATACCTCAGGGGTAAGAATAATGGAACGATTTATGTATGTTGCCCAAGATCTAAATAGGTGAGCTCCAGCACCACTGTGAAAACAAGAAAGTCAGCATCATTGACACAACTTGAAATGTTTGGTACATTTTCTTTTTTGAGAAGAATAAAGGTTTGATAAGGAATAATTTTTTACAAGTCCATCACAGTCATAGGATAGACTTTAAACATTTTTCTTCAACTTTAAATAACAAGAAAGATTATAAAATTATCACGTTTACCATGGCTACTCCATACAAATGAAAGTCCAACAACTTCCTTGCCATATAATTCCAACTAATAGATATTATTTAAAGCATCATTTTATTCTTTTATCCTAGGCCAGACATAATTCCTTGCAGGATATAAGCGTTTTTTTGATGTAGAAGAAGTAATAAGACTTTGAAAACAGACAGGGATTTCAAAATTGAAACATCACTGGGTTCCTGATGGGATGCTGTTCACCCTGGAAATGGTACTTATCTCCTTGGGGTACCAGCCCTTCAATGTTGTGACTTGATCGTTGGAAATGGGAACCTGGTGTTGTTCTGGGAGGATACTTGGTTGGAAGAGGGTTCTTTGAAGGAGTTGTTTCCTAGACTGTTTGCGCTCTCTAGGAATCAATAACATTGTGTTTCCAGTCTCGTGGATTGATGTGTTCATCCTTACAATTGGAACTTCAGTTTCAGGAGAAATCTTAACAAGGTGGAGGTGGGTGAGTTGTTGTGGATGTTGCAGATTTTGGATAGGGTTCGACTGTCCCAATATCGCAGTGATAGCAGAAGTTGGAAGCTTGATGGGTCCGGGTCGTTTTCCTGCAAATCCTATAGTTCTTTTCTCTGTAATAATGGCAACATGCAGATTTTTTCTCCCGCTTCCCAGATTTGGAAGTCTAAGGTCCCTCCTAAAGTTAAATTTCACATGTGGTTGCTAGCTCTCAGCAAGCTCAATACCTGTGACCATCTTCAAAAGAAGAGGCCTTATATGTGTCTTTCTCCCCACAGGTGTGCTCTGTGCAATCTTTGCGAGGAAAGTGCTGATCACATGCTTCTTCACTGCCTTTTTTCTTTACAAGTTTGGTGGAAGTTGTTCAGGGAGATTGATGCTTGCTGGGTTATTCCTAAAGGCGGTTATGATTTTTTGAGTACTAAGTTTGAGGCTCTAGGCAAGGGGAAGAAAGCCAAAACTCTATGGGGTTGCCTGGTGTATGCGGTTCTGTGGAATATTTGGGTGGAGCGTAATAAAAGAATTTTTTAAGATTACAAGGGAGAGGAGGTTGACGGAATTTGGAACAGAGCTAGATTCTGGGCAGCTTTATGGGCTTCAGTTTCTTCAGACTTTTTGGATTATTCCCCTACTATCATTTTGTTGGATTTGGTGGCAGCAGTGAAATGAGGATATGGTCCTTCCTTTCCTTTTTTTTCCTTTTTCTTTTTTTTTCTTTTTTGTTTTTTTTTTTTTTTTTTTTTGTTGTGTCATTGTTCTGGTTGGCTATGGATGCCTTATCCACCTTTTTAATATATCGTTTCTCTTATATAAAAAATCACTGGTAGAACTGGCTCAAAAATAGGAAGATCTTGCTCAATCTTCAGTAGGATTGGATCTGTCAGTTCAAGAACAAGAGAAGCTTAGTCAAACAATGGTAAGATGGGGTCTTTTGGTTCAAGAATCAGATCCGTTGAAACAAAGAGAAGAGAATCTTGATGGATCATTGGACCATTAAAGACAGTAGCACCTTCGGGCTCCAATAGAGTGGTTGTTTTCTCTATCATGCAGTCATGTAAGCTTGACATGCTAAAAATTGGGCATCCAAGGTGTCACGAAATTCATGCTCGTTTTTTTTCTCTTCACTTTTTGTGGTTTTAGTAATGCATGTGTAGTGGCAGCGAGATGCTAGGTTGAAGGAGATGGCTTGTTAGAACCCAATATCCCACATTGGAAAAATAGCACATCTTGGGGTGGTTTAAGAACTCTTCCGGAACTTTCTCTTACAAGCTGATTTTTAGGGGCAAGTTCTACCCAGGGGCTCTCAATTGGTATCAAACCCTAATTTCACCACAAAACTGGATCAGACTCTGCAGAAGGGGTGACCTATAGGCTGGATTAAGATTATCAGTATTTTTATCGTCACGTTCTTATTACTTTCCAATTTCTAGTAGATAGAGGATTACTGTCCTGTTTGTAGCAGGATTAGGTTGTCATAAATGCGTTTTGTAATTAGAATGAAATTATCTCTTCTTATATTTTCTCTTGTATCTCTATCATATAAACCTAATATCTCTTCTCTTCTAGATTTCTCTTCCGTCTATCTATTTCTCTCTGCACCTGCTCTTCTGTCATAAATGTGTTATAATTTTGTTTCTAATCCTCTGTTTTCTTCTTCTAATTTCCTTCTTCTGTCTTTCTATTTCTCTATTTTCTATTATCTTGAACCGTAATTCTCTTATCTTCTAAAATCCTTTCTAGTTTTTAAGCTCTTGTTACTTGCTTTACATCAGTTTTCCTTTCAAAATTACACACATATAGTGGAAGGCAAGAAACAACTCAGTTAATTCATTTAGGGACTGTTCTACAGCTAAAGATCCATATCAGTTATTTTTTTACCCTTCTTCCAAGATGTGTGCTCAACATTGTGACCCAACCATTTCTCTGATATAGATATACAACAAAAGTATGGTTTTTTTACATAGTTATACGTGTTCCACATAGAAAACAATTAAGGGTGGAACAATGTATGATTTCTATTTTCAGGCCAAACCCAAAAGAAGAAAAAAAGTTACTGACCAAACCAAACTACCATACCTAGGGAAAACAAATATGTGGTCACGGCCGCCAGATCGCCTGAAATATGGCATTTGACTTAACACCTGTAAGAAACAATTTGACTGAATGAGCATAACATAACAAAATTTTAGACGTATCCCCATCAATTATAAAGCTCATCACCGCGCATAAGCACAGCTACAAGAAACGCCTAGACTTTAGGTTTCTAAATGAAATGAAAAGGAATTTACCTTCACATATGACTGGTTAATCTCCTTATCATTAAGACCACCCATCATTCGAACGCATTTAGTATACGCAGGCACAAAAAATAGGTCTGCTTCCTCTTTCTTCTGTGTTCGGAACCTCGATTTTAGCAGTAGCCTGTGTATTTTAACCTACATTTGATAACAAAGCAAATTCAAAGCCCACATATATACTTTCTAATAACAATTTCATGATTTTCTTTCTTTTCTCCATTTAGAAAGTTTCTCATCAACAACAAAAGAATCTATAACCAATTATTCTACCCAAGGTTAAAGGCTTTGAAATTTAAGCACAGGCAGTAGTCAGGATTTCAAGCAAAGCACTGGTATAATGAGTACTAGCTTTCACATATTACATTTTGCAAAAACCTAGACTTGACTTCAATTGCTGCATAAACAAGGTTAGTTTATTTTCCTACACATTTTTCAGTTGCCAAACAGAGCATGAATTCAAATCTACCCAAATTTAAAACAATTTATAAAATCAAATAAAATCAATTTCATCATATTGAGAAAGGAAATTACCTGAGTGCCCCACTGACCTTTCAAGCAAGTGCTGGAGTCGATGGTGCCATCCCTCCCGTGCATCAAGGCCTTGAGGCCATCGATCTCGAGGTCATCGTAGACGTAGATTTTGAGGTCGAGGTGGGGCCCGTACCCCCGATGGGGCCACAAGAGATCTCGACCGTCGGAGACATGGACGGAGCTCCGTGAAGTGGGGATGAGATCGACGGTGGAGAAGTGAGAGGCGCAGGGGCGGAAGGAGCGGTCGAAGAGACTTGTGAAGAAGAAGGTGGCGGCGACCAAGAGGAGGGCTCCGATCTGGTGCGTGCGGGTGCATAGAGGCTGGTGGTGGTGGTGCTGCCCGCCGAAAGGTCGGGCTTTGTTGTTAACACTTCCCATTTTCGGACTCTGGGAATGAGTTTCAGACTGTCAGTGGCTGGAGTGGTTCTGCTTCCGGGGAAGAAGGCATTGGATGAAAACGACGTCGGCTGGCTCTGTGTTTATTTATTTATTTTTGTTAATGGAAAAGGGTAATTAGAATTTTTAAATATTTTGAACCTTATTTATGGACGTAGTGTGGAAAGGCCCTTAAGATTTGATGGAGGGCATAATTGGTAGTTTACAGGAAAGGAAATTAAAGAGGCGATTTCAGGAGACTGGGGAGGGGCGGCAATAATATTCCCCTAATAAAACACCCCCAATTGTTTTTTTGGGTCGAAGAAAAAAACACCCCCATTCGCCCAACAGCTCACACCCCAAACAAATATAAACATCCCTCGGTTAAATTGTATTTGCTATTTGCTAAGCACCACTGCACTCTTTCTACCGAAAACCCTAGAACCTCAAATTTGATCCCATCAGCGGACAGACAGCCATGGCTCGTCACAGAGACGAAGATGACGATGAGATGGACCCAGAGGAAGAGGACGAGTACGAACCAGACCAAGTTATAGACGAGGATGAAGAAGAGGAAGAGGAGGAGGAGCGAGGAGGACGACGCTCCAGTCAGAAGCGGAGGAGATCGGATTTCATCGACGACGCTGCAGAGGAGGACGATGAAGAGGAGGAAGAGGACGACGAGGATGATGAGGCTTATGGTGGTGGTGCGAGTCGTAAGCGGAGGAATAAGAGGCCCAGTGGGTCGCAGTTTCTTGATATCGAGGCTGAGGTCGATACCGATGATGAGGAAGATGAAGATGAAGGCGAGGACGGTACGCTCTGCTGCGCCTCTACTAAACTCATTTTGCTTAATTTTTAGAATTTTGTTGCTTTTGTTTGGAGATTTAGGGTTATGAATATAGACTGGGTTGGAATGTAGGTTATAAGCGATTTGGGGGATTAATAAATGGTTTAGAATTTTTAGGTGGTGAATTCTGGTACTGAATTGTAATTGATTTGGGAATGGTAGTCTATTAGTATTGCGGGTATCCTTTGGTTACAATTTTACTTGGGCTCCTCCAAGGTTCAAGATTGAATTGTGTAAATATTTGTTTTCTCATATGCTTTCCAGGAGAAATGAGTTTGGCGCAATTCGTTAGAACTTGTGCCCAGTTTTAGGCAAGGGTGCAGTATTCTGTTCACACCAATGCTATTTGCTGTGTTCCTCGTACTTTGGGAGGTTTTCGCATTGCATTACTGTTGCTATTTTTTATGAGTTATGTCTCATATTATGTTTGTTTTATGATTACTTTATCATATTGTTTGGGATGCTTTAAAATCAGGAATTAGGTTCAATCAAGATTGGATTTAGTAGTCTGGAACACTTGACCCTGTAGTCATAAGTGAAAAAAGTGTTACTTATTTAAAACAATAAAAGGGTAGGAAGTTTGATAAAAGAGGTCTGAGTATGGGAACAACTGACATTTTAGGAGGCAATAGAAATCCCGGTCCAATCTCCCTCCCATCTTTACTGGGAGCTCTAGTAAACACCAATGGCCCCGCAAATCTGTTTAGAAAATTCATGCTCTTGATCACGTTAGATTACAAGGCCTTCATTTCCCTGAGTGAATAACAAGAGATATCATTGATTTTGCAGCTTCAAAAATGGCCAAACATGTATTTAATCCCTGAGTGAGACTTGTGCCATGAGAAAGCAGACCCGTGCTTTGCTAGGAATAGGGTAAATAAGATTATGACCTGGAGGGGTGGTGGCTTTCTCTTAAGTAATGGAGGACAATGAATAAAGCTTTAGAACCAAGGATATGTTTATGTCAACTCTTTTTCCTTCAGTTGTTATTAATCATTTCCATGGAATTCAATCTTCCAAACTGGTTATGTAGATATCTGTTCAAATTTTCTTTAGTTAAATTGATTCTGTTTAGGATTTGTTTTTAATTAGGGTGTAATCCTTGTTATCTTCAGAAGTGCATTATGATTATTTTCCGCTTTCTTTTGATGTGAATAATTATGTAAATTAGAATTCATGGTGGATGTCTAGTGGATTTGTTTAGTTGTTCCTTTCTTGTGTACTAGTGATGATGGTTAAAGAGTCTTTGTGCAGACTTCATTGTTGATAATGGAGCTGATCTACCTGAAGACGATGATGGTAGAAGGATGCATCGTCGTCCATTGCTGCCTCGAGAAGATGAGCAAGAAGATGTTGAAGCGCTTGAGAGAAGAATTCAAGCGCGGTATGCAAGGTCGAGTCATACAGAATACGATGAGGAGACTACTGATGTGGATCAGCAAGCTCTTTTACCTTCTGTTAGGGATCCAAAGTTGTGGATGGTGAAATGTGCGGTATGATTATTTATCGTAGCATGATATTAATGTTATAGTTCCCAATTTTGAGAGAATACTTATGATATCTGTACTGATGCCTGTCAGATTGGTCGTGAGCGAGAGGCTGCTGTTTGCTTAATGCAAAAGTATATTGATAAACCTGAACTGCAAATCAGGTCTGCTGTTGCTCTAGACCACCTTAAAAACTTTATATACATTGAAGCAGACAAAGAAGCCCATGTGAGGGAGGTATGCCTTTGTTGGTGTATGCATAATTTTTTATGATTTATGTATTTGCACTTTAGGCTATTTTTGGCATTTGTACATGCTTATCTCTTTGATTATTGTATTTTTTTGGTTTTAGGCGTGCAAAGGTCTACGCAATATATTTGCCCAGAAGATAAATCTTGTTCCGATCAGAGAAATGACTGATGTTCTGTCGGTTGAAAGCAAGGCAATTGATCTTTCTAGGGATACGTGGGTCAGAATGAAGATTGGGGACATATAAAGGAGACCTTGCCAAGGTATGGACAGTATGTTTGCTTACAATATCTTGTGATTCTTTGTCTAACCTCTAAGCTTATTGTTATAGGTTGTGGATGTCGATAATGTGCGGCAGAAAGTTACAGTAAAATTAATTCCAAGGATTGATTTACAAGCTATTGCAAATAAACTGGTAAAGTTTGTTACATATTTTCTATGTTTAGATGAGTCTCACCGTCTCAATCTTCAATGTGTATATGTGCAATCTTTTTCATTTATATTCCTATTATGTTCATTCATTGAGGTTGCATTCCTATTAAATTAATTCTTAGGATTGTCTTTGTTGTAATATTCCCACCTCTCCCGTAAGCACTTATTATCATAGCATAGTATTATCAATTTATTTGGGTAATTTTGAGATGACTTGTTTATGATACAGGAGGGCAGAGAAGTTGTGAAAAAGAAGGCATTTGTTCCTCCTCCACGTTTTATGAATATTGATGAAGCAAGGTAATGCTAAACACTTCCTATTACAATGCTGTCTCCACTCAATATATGGTTAGATTAACGTCTTACACTGTTTGCCCCATATGTACTCTTCTCAGGGAACTGCATATTCGTGTAGAGCGTAGACGAGATCCGATGACTGGTGATTACTTTGAGAATATTAATGGCATGCTGTTTAAAGATGGTTTCCTGTACAAAGCAGTATCAATGAAATCAATTAGCTCTCAAAACATACATCCCACTTTTGATGAACTTGAAAAATTCCGGAAACCCGGGGAGAATGGTGATGGAGATATTGCCGGTTTGTCAACTTTATTTTCAAACAGAAAGAAGGGACACTTTATGAAGGGTGATACAGTTATTGTTATCAAGGGAGATCTTAAAAATTTGAAAGGATGGGTTGAGAAAGTTGAGGAAGAGACTGTACATATCAGGCCCGAAATGAAAGAACTTCCAGTAAGAATTACTTTTTCGGGTGCTTTTTGGTTGTGATATCTAAATTTTTTGTTAAAAGATTCTTACTGCTCCACTGGTTTAGTGGTGTGACCACTTGTTCTTATTGGGGATTTCATTTTCCAGAAAACTCTTGCCATAAACGAAAAAGAGCTTTGCAAATACTTTGAACCTGGGAATCATGTGAAAGTTGTATCTGGTACTCAGGAAGGTTCAACTGGTATGGTTGTTAAGGTTGAGCAGCACGTGCTCATCATTTTATCTGATATAACGAAGGAACATGTGAGTGATTTATTTCTCCACTCTTTTTAAAAATATATATATTTCTCTACTTCAATAGGATCACATAGGGGATTTCAGGAATAGTTTTCTACTAAATAGAATGTGAACATTTTATAATTATTTTTTGTTTGCAGATCCGTGTGTTTGCTGATGATGTTGTGGAGAGTACTGAGGTGACATCTGGTATTACCAGAATTGGTGCATATGAGCTTCACGATCTTGTTCTACTGGCGTGAGTTGCTATTCCATGGGCACCAGTCATCTGTTCTTCTTCATGTTTAATTATTTAACTTTGTTTTGTGCCTGATGTGGTGCAGTAATAATAGTTTCGGTGTAATCATTCGTGTGGAAAGGGAAGCATTTCAGGTGTGTAATCATAATTTACAATTTCCTCATCCTCCCTTTCTGTGTTTTCTTATTTTCACTGTTTCCAGGTTCTTAAGGGAGTGCCTGACAGACCCGAGGTTGCCCTTGTCAAGTTAGGAGAGATAAAGTGCAAGATTGAGAAAAGTTTTCCTGTTGAAGTGAAGTATAAACACAAAGTATCTGTGAAAGATGTTGTGAGGGTCATTGATGGCCCTTGCGAGGTGAGATGAGATATATATTTCCTGCTTGGTTTTCCTCATAGCAGTATTTCATAAATCTCAGGCTATTATTTTTTCACTGCTTTTCGTATGATAGGGGAAACAAGGTCCCGTGGAACACATATACAGGGGAGTCTTGTTCATTTATGATCGCCATCACCTAGAGCATGCAGGCTTTATCTGTGTTAAGTCCCATGCTTGTGCTCTTGTGGGAGGATCACGTGCGAATGGTGATAGAAATGTAAACCCTTTGTGCTCTTATTGTGTGGATCTGAACTCTTTATCTTTCATGGGTTTCATTTTTGTATGTTCTGATTGTTGATGCTTTTGTCCCACTCCTCTATCTAACGTACAGGGTGATACCAACTCAAGATATGACCATCTCAGAACTCCTCCTCGTATTCCCCAGTCACCAAAGAGGTTTTCTAGAGGAGGCCCTCCAAATAACTGTATGTTCCACATTTTCAGTGCTCTCTTTTTTATTCATATTGTGACCAAATTCTCCTTTTTTCTCTTCTTCCATCATCTTTATTATTTTATTGAACAAGTTATAAATTGTTCCTATTTCTATGGTTCAGATGGAGGAAGGAATAGAGGTGGACGAGGGCATGATGGCTTGGTTGGGACTACAGTAAAGGTTCGCCAGGGTGCCTATAAGGGCTATCGTGGACGTGTTGTTGAGGTTAAGGGACCCAATGTACGGGTTGAATTGGAGTCCCAAATGAAGGTTGTTACAGGCAAGTCTACGTGTTGGGTTTCTTGTCTCCTTGGTTATTTATGTATCTTATGGGCCATAACACTTCTGTCATGCTTGCAGTTGATCGTAATTGTATTTCTGATAATGTGGCTATTACAACACCATATCGGTAAAATTATAAATTTCACTTCAGTTCTTTTTCCTCTTGGTTTTTAGCTTAGCTTATTCTTATTTCCAATCTTATCTAAATGTGTTCCAGTGATACATCTCGCTATGGTATGGGAAGTGAGACCCCAATGCATCCTTCTCGAACTCCGCTTCATCCATATATGACTCCTATGAGGGATGCTGGAGGTTTGTTTCTTTTTTTTTCCTTTTAAGAAAACGTAGTGTTTTGTATGAGTTCTAGTACTTAATTATTATTTTGGACTGATCTTCTGGCAGTAATGTTGGAAAAATAATATTTCTGTTGACCAATATTTCTTTTGGATAACAGTCAATATGATCTTATAAAAATGAAATTTTTTCGCATATGTTAGATGACTGATATATTTATTCATCTTTGGAACTCCTTGCAGCAACGCCTATTCATGACGGCATGAGGACTCCTATGCGTGACCGAGCATGGAATCCGTATGCACCTATGAGTCCAGCAAGGTTTGTGTTTCGATGGCATTAAAATTATTTATTTCTCTCAAAAGCGAGTGGTTGAGGAAATAATTCCTATCAAACATAGTTCATTAAACCAAGTAGAAGATTGTTTCAGCGTCAATAAAATGGAAACTCTTTCTTTATTCAGGGATGAATTGTATATCCAGTTTTCATGGCTTGCATGATTAACTGCGCTGATTTATTTTCTTGTGCTATGCCAGTTCTCATGGCTTGCACCATTTCAGATAATCATTGTATCATCTACAATATTTGCAGGGACGTGTGTTATTAGTGTATTATGAAACAACTTAGGTATGTGATCAAAAACCGGGTAAAAAAAAAATAGATCTGTAACAAAAGTTTGGAAAATGGACGATACGAAAAGTCAAATCAGACCTGTAAGAAAGGGATATCTAGATTGCACTCTTATTATAGAGAATGCTGGTGTGGAATGCAATGAATTAAGGGATCTTTTATATTCCAAAAACTAATCAGTAGGATTATTTCTTTTCTTGGTCTGACCTAGTCCATCAGATTTGTTATAATAAGTTCAGTAACATCCTTATAGACTTCAAAATGAAAGTCAAGCTAGATCCCAATTAAACACTGATAAAGTGCAAATACATAACGAAAATGCCACCTCTTACCAAAGTTGGACATTACTCCCATCGTTTCTTTTTCAAATTCTTTCCAACTTTGGAATATGATAAATTTCATTCTATACGAAGGGTACAAATTAAGTAAAAAGAAAGTATGTCTAACAAATACATTACCTGATGTAAAAATATTCATTTTTCACGTCATGATACCTTTACACAGATACATTGTCTTTGATGCGACATATGCACTTTGTCACAACATTTATCTGTGTTCCAGATAGCATTATGATTATGCAACATAATTCACCTTTTTCATCAGTATAAGTCTTGACCAGAACAAGTATAATACTTCTGTGTGCAAAATGGAGTGATGTAGGCATTTTGGGTAAAACCTGGGTGCTTTAATTCCATAACCAATAGAAATGGCTTGGGGTAGCAAATAGGCATGACTAGTATGTTGGTGCAGATGTGATCAGAGTAGTGTGAATGTTAACAAGAAAAACAGAGAGGAGAATAAAGAAACCGTTAGCACTCAGTTTCATTAGCCCTCACTGGAGAAAAAGAGAAGCCATAATTATGGTCATTATCCTGCTGCTGAATTTCATTAATTAAACTTTAGTACTCCGTAGGGCTTTCTATTCCTCATAGGAAGCAGATTTAGTTTAGGACCCTAAAGGGATGCTACTTTACCACTCAACCATGCCCCGTTGCATAAGAGGCTCTCAAATTGTGATTTTACTGTTGTATCTTCAACTACAAAGATTATATAATTTAGTCAGATAACTGCCGCATAAAAAGCTAAGTCTGCTTGTTTTCACTGATGTTTCTTGGAACCTTGATTGTGAAAAAATCAGGGATAACTGGGAGGATGGGAACCCTGCTTCTTGGAGTGCGAGCCCACAGTATCAGGTGAGTAACTAATGCATAAATGTCCTTACAGATGTAGCTTTAGTCTTTTTTCTGTATTAAGCAGCTGTAATGTTTTGGGTTTCAGCCAGGAAGTCCACCATCACGAGCGTATGAAGCACCAACTCCTGGTTCTGGTTGGGCTAACACTCCTGGTGGAAATTATAGTGAAGCTGGCACACCAAGGGACAGTAGTTCTGCTTATGGTACAATTTTGGTTTTCATTCTTTTAAAATTTTTTGCGCTGACCTCTTTTTTTCATTTTTACGATCCCCTTGAGTTCCTCTCATTTTGTATCTCTGTTGCAGCAAATGCTCCTAGCCCTTACTTGCCATCAACTCCGGGTGGGCAGCCTATGACACCAAATTCGGTGTCCTATCTTCCTGGAACTCCTGGGGGGCAACCAATGACACCAGGCACTGGTGGTCTGGATATGATGTCTCCTGTTATAGGTATGAGACTCAGTTTTTCTATTTTAAACCAGTATGAAGTCACAGTGCTGATTAGAACTCTTATTTCCCCTGTTGTGAACTGGTAGTTAGAACTCTTATTTCCCCTGCTGTTTAGTTTTCCAATAATACCCTTTTATTTTATAGACAAAGCGGTATTTTTGACTTATAAGCGAGGTAATTTTTTCATACAAAACACATTAATGCTTTTTCAAGGCCAAAGAATTGCATACCCACGCGGTGCCCAATGGTTTTATTTCCCAAGCCTCCGCAAACCAAACAAGGCCTAATAGTAAAAAATACTGACATTTACTTAAAACGTTAAGTTCAAATTTGACATGAATCAACTCTAATAAAGTGTCTGCATATAATCTTCAAATCATTTACTGTATTATGTGGTGCTTATGGAAGCAGGGGAAATGAATTACATTTAAGAATTAAGAAATTACAGTCCAGTAGTTGTAGTCTGTTGTCCTCTTTCGCATGGGAATAGATTTGGCTTCCTATTATTTGCTCCTGTTATATAGTTTCTGATTTCTTTGGATCTTAATGCTAGTGTTTGTGCTTTCCTTTTCTTAAGTGGCCTCATTGTATACGCCTGTGTACTGGGGCACTTCTTTTTGGTTCATAGAATTGTTTACTTATCCAACAAGAGAAAATATGTTTTGATGAGACATGAGAGGAATATACCGTTACTTGAAATCTGATTTATTTATATGATATAATATCCCTGGTCATTGCTTTGCTAGAGCTCTATACCCCCGTTTGAGTTCTAATCTTAACATCTTGTATCAGGTGGGGACAGTGAGGGACCATGGTTCATGCCGGACATATTGGTCAATGTACGCAATTCTGGAGAGGAAACTACTGGAGTTGTCAGAGAAGTGCTCCCGGTATGTCATTATATCATGCTCCTTTTAAATTTCTCTATCGATATTTACCAAGTACAATGATATTTGGACCCGCAAAGGATATGAACATGACGGATTTGGTGATTTCTACTAAATGAAAATCTAGAAAAAAGGTCATTATACATTCACTTGTAACTCCTGTTGAGATATGGTGTAGTAGGACAAAAGATAAACGAACAGGCCTATAGAACTGTTTGGATTGTAATTTGGAGGGCCTTTTTAAGTTATCTCTGAAGCGCCTGAGTTATTTCTGTCGAAGGTAACAAGGGTGGCTATGCGAATCATGAATGACGTGCCGTTGAAATTTCTTTACGTGTGCATGTGCTGCTATATGCATTGTATTGTAGTTGATGTTGCTGATTCTAGAATGATCTCGTTGCAATGTTTATCGCTTATCAAAATAGATACTAACTAATATTGTTTGAAGTACCTACCTGTGTGATTATTATTTGAGATACTAAGTATATACTGTTTGGTGGTTCAGGATGGCTCCTGTAGGGTAGTTATAGGGTCAAGTGGCAATGGGGAAACTATAACGGCGCTGCCTAATGAAATGGAGGCAGTCGTACCAAGGAAAAATGATAAGATCAAGATCATGGGTGGCTCATTACGCGGTGTCACTGGTAAGCTGATTGGTGTGGATGGCACGGATGGAATTGTCAAGGTGGATGACACCCTTGATGTTAAGATATTAGACTTGGCTATTTTGTCAAAACTAGGCCAATAGTAATTTGGTGGGAACAAATAAATTTCAAAATGTAAATTGTTATTGATTTTTCTAATATTTCTAATTTTTGGAAGCAAAGATCCAATAGATTGCTCTCTCTCTCCCCTCTCTCTCTCTCTCTCTCTCTCTCTCTCTCTCTCTCTCTCTCTCCATGTGAAATGATTAAAACGATGGGAGTTTCACTAAAACACCCAAAATGGAGGTTGAAATTATAAAAAAACCCAACACCCAAAACACTTTAAAACACACCCAAAACCCATCATTACACACACTCAAAACCCATTTATAAACACACCCAAAAAGTTGACTTTGGGGTTGATTTTGGGTGTGTTTATATGTTTAAATAGTGTTTGGGTTTTTTATAAATACATGTCTAGGATTGGGTTTATTTATAAATTTGTATTAAAAGATCCACCCCAGGTCTATTGAGTGTGACAACTGTTATCTTTCAATGCAATGCTAAGCGCCCTTTTAATGAGACTTTGTTTAACTTCTAGCGTATTCATCAATTAAGAAGGAAATATGAGAGGGCAGACAAATGGAAAGAGAAACAAAATGAAAACTAAGACACAACCCCAAAAAAAAAAACTAAAAAACAATTTTAAATATGTTCTCTCTTTATCCTTCATCTTTCTTCCTACCTGTCTCCATCTTTTCTTTTTCTCATATGTTCTCATTATCACTCTCAAAACAACAAAAAAGGATTGATTTGCAAATAACAATTCTGGTTTTACCTGTACTTGGAAGTTGGAAGAACCTTTCTTGGTTTTAATTTGTTGTTTCACTGGTTTTAGCTAGACTTGATAGAGATTTCTTTCTCCTACACATTGATCAATATGGCTGCTCAAAATTGTCAACAGATACTGTAAATTGAGCGCATGTTCAAGGCTGTACACATCAAGGGGCAAGGAGGTTGAATAAATTTATTTATTTATTTATTCATTGAATATATACACAGCAACTGTCCAACAGAAGCTCAGACATAAACAGTATGAAAAAAAAAACCAAAAAAAAACAGATTCGCACACAGGCAGACCAAATTTGAACAATTTTTAAAAAGAAAAGAGTTAAAAAAAATTGAAAATTAGAATGTGCGGGCACAAACATCAAGGATGAAGCTTTCATTCCTCCATGTGGATTATGCATCGAAGACCTTCCCCTTTAAGCATGTAATCAAATGCCTTGTTGATTTCTGAGAATGGGACTTTGTGGGTGATGAACTTTTCCAGCTCAAGTTCCTGCAACATAGTGGAGTTTACAGTTCAATTGATGTGTGCATAAATAAAACTAAAACTAGTGTAGCACTTACACAGCAACTCATAACATAAAATTGGAAGAAGAGCATCAATGAAAATTAGCTTCAGCTTTAGCTAGATTACATTATTCATGTACTTCTCCACAACAGAGGGAATGTCGGTTCGAGGCTTGTAATTTCCGAAGAAGGTACCCTTGAGAGTCCTCTCGTTCAGAAAGTTCACAGGATGCGTCTTGAAGACAGCCTCTTTGTGTGGTACTCCCACAAGAACAGCAACACCCCAACCCTGGAATAGAATTTTTGTGTTCATCATAACAAGATCACATCGAAACTTAAAAGAGAGATACATGGAGCCAAAGGATTAAGAACAGACATCATGGGCACATTCAAATGCAGATATCATGGCTTCAACATTTCCAGTACATTCAATGCTTCTGTCCACTCCTCCATTGGTCAGCTCAGCAATCACCTAATAAGCAATCCATAAGAAAAGCTCTTTAGAAACATGTTTAAGGAGGTACAAGGGAAACAATGTACAAAAAGAAATCCATGCCAGTAACAAACAAACCTCTTGAACTGGCTTTTTGTGATCTTTTGGGTTCACAAATTCGGTTACGCCAAACTTTTTTGCTGCAAACAATCAAGTTAAAACTCAGAGACACATGGAGAACATTTGCAAACATGAGAGTCAAAATATAGAAGCAGAAAACACATCTACTTCTTATGCATTGTTCTCTTTTCTGATAAAAGGAGGCTTATTGCAAGTCAAGTATATATCCTGAAATGCCAGATACTTTCCCAGAAATAAACAATTACTTTTAGGAATTATATATCTCACCCCCTTCAAATCTGCTGGAATTCAAATCAACACCAATAATTCTTGAAGCCCCAGAAATCCTGGCTCCTTCAGCAGCCTGAATCAGAAAACCATTTATACATTTATTTTCCATCATACACATAAACATACACCTAAACAAGCAGTGAAAGTGTCACATATATAAATATATGGCAGATAGCAAGAAATAGGAGAGACTCACTGCAAGGCCTACAGCTCCCAATCCAAAAACAGCAACTGTTGATCCCTTTTTCGGTTTTGCAACATTAAGAGTAGCTCCCAGACCTGAACATATATCCAGATAATTAAAAAATAAATTCCAATTAAACATCAAGCAAAATTCCAATCACACTTGTATATATGCATACCTGTGGAGATACCACAACTGAGGACACAGACTTTGTCCAGAGGAGCCAAGGGATTGATCTTGGCAAGGCAGCCAACATGAACAACAGTGTACTCACTGAAGGTGGAAGTCCCAACAAAGTGGTATATTGGCTTGCCTTTAATTGAAAATCTTGATTTCCCATCACTCAGCATCACTCCCCTGTCAGTATTTATCCTCAGGAGATCACACATGTTGCTCTCTTCTGATTTACAGTGAGCACAGTCCTTGCATTCCCCTGTGAACACAGGCAGGACATGGTCGCCGGCTTTAAGATCCGTCACGCCTTCACCAACACTCTCCACAATCCTAATTTGTAAACACCAAAAAATCCACATAAGTTAATGCTACACCATACTATATGTTTCCTAGCTTCTGATAAATTGAAAACAAGTTTGATAGAAATTTACATACCCTCCTGCCTCATGACCATAAATTCTAGGAAACAAGGGTTTTGTCCCTGCAATATAGAAAACCCAATTCAGATTTTGTGTGCTATATTTGGTTCTTGGCTTTCATGATCATAAAGAAATCTTGCTTAGGAGAAAAATAATTATAAATAAATAATAATAATAAAGCACCTTGGCTTCCCAGAAGTAGACAGCAATAGCATGATTAGACCTTCCTCAACTTGTAAGCCATGCATATAATCTTCTTGACCAAAAAAAAAAATAAATGCATGTAATCTTCGATCAGACTGAACCAACAAGCCTGCCTCCGTTTGGGAATTAAAGCCTCCTTGTTACTCCATAAGTACATAAAGAATCAGCTTAATCCCCCAAGTAAAATTAGACAAACCCAAAATGCCAGATTGTCCCAAAAGGCAATTTTGTGTAAGAGCAAGCAATGTTAAATTTTCTCTGCCACTGAATTTATTCTTCAATATTATCGGAATCTGCTGTTCTTCACAAAGCAGAGAATCTATATCATGGCGACACCCTGAGAGAGAGAGAGAGAGAGAGAGAGAGAGAGAGAGAGAGAGAGAGAGGAGAGAGAGAGAGAGACCCAATTTAGGACTTGATGAAGCAAAAACCCAAAGATCCATTCCTATGAAGTTTGAACTACATCTGGAAAAACCAACTATTAATTGCATATCTAAGTAGGGTAGGTAACAGACAAGGGCAAGAAGAACTAACAAAATACAAACAATTGATAATTATATATATGCTGCTGCATAATAACTAGATATTCAAATGCATATATAAATTAACATTAAGTTGTTTGCAAAAGATCCCACAAATACATTCACTGATACTATAATATAATATAATATGAAGGTATCCAAGGCTTTTTTGAAGTTTCATTTAAACCCAACAACGAGGTGCCGGTTCGCCCAAAATACACTCTTTCACGATGCCTGGCCCCAACCGTTCCATCCTGATGAGTGAGTATACTGTCTATGCATGCCTTCTTTCTGCAAAACCCAATTACATGAAATAAGAGGCCAATAAAAACACTCATGTAAAGAAAAAAATTGATTCTCTTGATTCATGGACATTAAATAAACAAAAGATTTCATGTAAACACAATTCTTTCACCTTTGCCTTTCTCCAATGTTCCACCATACATAAATTCTCACCAAGACTGGTTTCTTCTTGGTTTGGCTGATTCACACACTCCTCATGTTCATAATCCCCGCACTCACTGAGTCATAATAATGAAAAACCTTGTTACATACGAAAAATAACAGAATTCCAATGCACAAATTAATGTTATTGATGAAAACACAAGAAATGTGAAGGAAACTTACGGCGTGAAGCAGAAGGCAAGATTCAACCCAGTGTCCTCTACATCCCCAGAAAGAACAGTTGAATGTATGGTCTTGAGCATATTTTTCCCTTCTTCTCCAACAACAATTTGAAACATGGTGATACAAAAATATTGAGCCGGGAGATCAGCATCGCAGCACCCGGTGTTGACATGGAAAAATTCTAGGTTCCCCAAATGAACCAAATACTCACTCCTATCCATAGCAAATGGCAATGGTGGGCATGCAATCTCAAGGCCTTGCAATCTAAACTGTTGGCTTAGGTAATATACAAGACTACCGTCATCAGCTTTGTAAGTCTTAAAGGAGAATGCTATAAACTCCTCCCCATATAACGAATAGATAGTCTTGCCTATAACCACGGCCCTACCTAGGAAAGGGGGGAAATAAACAGAAGTATGAACTTTCACTCGCTTCCATTCGTTTCTACTGATGTGAAATGCAATGACATCGAAATTCCTTTCTTTCCGGCAACCAAATGAAAACAAAATAATGCCATAACAAACGGCATAACCAGTTATATCCATATGGGTGTCATAATCATTATAAAATGGAAAAGAAGTCATTTTCTCCCAGATGTTCTGATCAGGATCATAACTCTCGAAGGAGGGCTCCGGAACAAGTCGCAAGGTCGACGGAGTTTCAAGACAATACAGCTTGTCATATGCAGACACAACAATTGGTGTTGATTTAAAGCCTTGGGTAAGAGGAAGAGATGAACATCTTGACATAGTCTTCGTATCAATAATATATCCACCGTCCTGTGCAACGACGTATAATTTGGAACGGTTGAAAATCAGTGCCGCCTGAAAGCCAACAGGCTCATGCATCTCACTGAACCTGGCAACACGTCGAACAACTCGGGGTTCATGTGTGACTCCTCCTCCTTGTTTGAATTTCACTTCAAAGATTTCATTAGTTACTTCTCCGCTCCAATAAGAAAACCCAAATAAATAAACAGATCTAATAGCATCCCCCCGATTTAACGTCATTGATGCAGGCTCTAAATCCATGGGCAAGCTGATAACAGCGAAATATACAACAAGTCAAGTTAAGCTTTTCAAATAGATTACCTCCACTCAGAGAGAATATCATATACTTTAGGAATAAATACAAACATTAAAACAGTAAACATGCCATGCCCATTTTCCTACAAACTGCGAAAGGAATGGAACTAGATCATCATCATTAAATATTAAAGAGTAATTTGATACACGATAATTTCAATTCACAGAATATATAAATTATCAGAGTTGAAAAATATGACATCTGATTCCTCCGAAAATATCACGCCACAGTTTGCAAGAAAACACCTGAAAGAAAAAGATAGGAGCTGGTTATTATTTCAAGCAGAATCTATGCAGCAAGTAGAGAAAAATTTTAAACAAAAAAAAAAAAAAAAAAAAAAAAAAAAACAAAAATTTTACAGAGAAGAAGATGAAATCCACGAAGCCATGCACTGACCTTGTGGAATTTGGAATCTCCGTCGTTCGGGCCGACTGGTTTGTAATGAGCAAAGCTGCTCCGACATTGAATTCGTCAAATCGACCAGTTGGTTTTGCTGGGCGAAAAGCGCGGCTAGAGATTTCTTCATCTCCTTTCTCTCGCACAGTTCGGGCAAAGATTTTTCGATCTCTAATATTGTTTGCAGGACCTCGTTTTGGCGTGAAGCCATCATCAAGGCAGAGACCTGAACATCTTCAAGGGAGGTGAGCAGAGTGGCGGCGGCAGAAGGTTGAAATATATTCCGATCCCCCATTCTACGTACCGGATGATAGGGCCTTTGCAATTAAAATTCTTGAGGCACAAGGAAATTAGGGTTTGGGGATGGGAATTTGGGGGTTTGGGCAGAAGGGAGTTTGGTTCGCCGTGTGTTTGGCAAAAGGAAAAAAAAGACGGGATTTGAAAAAAAAATCGGGATTTCACCGATGGAAAAGGGATATCCATGCGTTTGGCAAAATCTACTAGGGATTTGGCAAATCACTTGCGGGAAATATGGAGAGATTTCCCAATCCAAAATCCCAAGTTTAAATCCTTTCATAATTGGTGGAATTGTGCAAATCTCAAGAGCGGGGGAAATTCCATTTGCTGCGCGCCAACAAAGACCCCTATATCAGTTTCTAACAAGAGTGGGAGAAGAAGGCCATCTTTCCAAGTTTCGCTGGTAAGCTTTCAATTAGTTGCAATTTTTAATTTTTTTGTTTATATTATTGATGGGTATTCAATTTAATGGGTTTGATCTATCTCTACTTTGTTTTGGTTATCTGATTCATTATCTAATGGGTTTGATTGGGCTCTGTTCGTATTCTCTCTCTTCTGGTTTCTTTTGAAACCAGAATTCGACCCAAAAAAAACAGAAGTTAATCATCTTTTTTTATCTGATACAGAGTGAGTGGTTTTCAGATTTTGCCATTGTTTCAGTCTAAGACACTGTTTGCTCCAATAAAGGTATAGTCTCTCAACTTATCCTTGCTTTTCAATCTGTTTTGTTCCAATAAAGGATAGATTATTGTTGTGAAATTATTGTTTCTTGTAGTCTGCATAATTTCTTGTAGTTTCTGTTATGGTCTCTTCTTCTGTCTGTTTGACTAAGTTTTGGGTTTAAGAATTTGTTTCTGTGATTTGTCAAACCAGTGGAAAAAGGTATGTATTATTGCAAATTGGGATTTTTTTGCATAAGACAAAATATTTAGCTTCACTAGTTTTATCTGCTTTTAAACATGGTCAATGTAGCTTTGTCATTGCAAAGCACTATTCATGTTTGTTTTTCCACAGGTCTTCCAATGCTCTTTGGTTTGTTTTTGTTGGGCAGCCAATTTGTTACAACCAGACATGATTTGCTCTGTTTTCATAGACATAATAATACCTCCTTTCCATTTTCATTTTCTTCAAGTTTGAATCTTGGTTTTCATGTCTGTTTCTTCAAAGTCACCTTTATTATCCTCTAAAGGTGAATCTTCTCCAAGATTCATGTCTGTTTAAAATTGATTCTATGTCTGTTAAGTACCTTAGCTCAATTTTAGTTTGAATCATGTTTCCAAGACAACCATGTCTATTTGATTATTAGTTTGAGCTAAGATTCATGTCTGTTTGAATCAATTTTAGCTAAGGTACTGCTCCATCGCATTTTTGCCAGGATACCATTGAATTTCCAAACTTTTTTGCTAAATATCCTACTGCTTAGTGACTTTCTGACAAGTAATATCCAACTGCATTTTCTCCATCAGCACATAGTATTGCACTGTTTTGTATCCATCCATGATATTTTGGTGGTTATAAGGTATATATGATTTTTTGGAGTACTTTAAGCATTTCTAGGTGAAACAACTATTTAACTGATAAAGCTGTTTATCATATTTGAGGACAACCTACAATAGCTCAACCCATTTCAACACACTTAGGAGACCTTTTATTTCTTCTTTTCTGCAGTCATATAGAAATTATTGTTTTATTTCTTCTTTGGTGGCCAACAAGCACTAGTCAGCTTGGTTTTTCCACAGGTATTTCTTCTTTGTTGGGTAGCCAAGTTAGAATTGTTTTGCTTCCTATTTGCGAAACAAGAAATGCAGAATATATGGCAGATGAATTATTATGTTTTTTTTTCTTTTTCGTGTCTGTTTCTTCAAACTCACTTTTATTATCCTCTACTGCTCCATCTCATCTTGGAGAATTTCCGCCTTAGCTAAAATTGTGTGGCCTTTTGTTGGTGTTTGATATGACTATATAATAAGATTATTTGAAAATATAAACAGGTATGGCTAATGATGATGTAGATAATTTTCTTACACGTTTAAGTCGCAATCGTGCTAAGCGATGAAGAAGAAAATAGGGACAAAATGTTAATTATTCTTGGTACCATTACATCTGTCATTGCTATAGTTGTAGCATGGTATAATGAAACTTATCTAGTCAAAGAGCCTTCACGTGATTGGGATCAAGAAAGACAATGTTACTTGAACCGTCTGTATAATGGGAGGGAGGTTGACTGTATTGAACAATTAAGCAAGAATGCATTTAAGAGTTTATGCACTATTTTGCATGGAAAAGGTGGATTGACTCCAATAAGAAATGTTTCAATTGAATAGTCTGTGGCTATTTTCTTAAATATACTTGCGCACAACTTGAAGTTTAGGGTCATTGGTTTTGACTACTATCGCTCTAAAGAAAGAATTAGTCGACAATTTAATAGTGTGTTGCATGCTATGATGAGAATAAGTGAAGAGTACTTGAAACTTCATCCATGTGCTATAGGTGGATCAGAAAGAGACAAGTGGAAGTGGTTTGAGGTAATGAGACTTTTGTTTAACTTCTAGCCTATTCATCAATTAAGAAGGAAATATGAGAGGGCAGACAAATGGAAGGAGAAAACAAAATGAAAACCAACACACAAAAAAAAAAAAAAAAAAAAAAAAAAAAAAACAAAAATTTTAAATATGTTCTCTCTTTATCCTTCATCTTTCTTCCTACCTGTCTCCATCTTTTCTTTTTCTCATATGTTCTCATTATCACTCTCAAAACAACAAAAAAGGATTGATTTGCAAATAACAATTCTGGTTTTACCTGTACTTGGAAGTTGGAAGAACCTTTCTTGGTTTTAATTTGTTGTTTCACTGGTTTTAGCTAGACTTGATAGAGATTTCTTTCTCCTACACATTGATCAATATGGCTGCTCAAAATTGTCAACAGATACTGTAAATTGAGCGCATGTTCAAGGCTGTACACATCAAGGGGCAAGGAGGTTGAATAAATTTATTTATTTATTTATTCATTGAATATATACACAGCAACTGTCCAACAGAAGCTCAGACATAAACAGTATGAAAAAAAAAACAAAACAAAAAAAACAGATTCGCACACACAGGCAGACCAAATTTGAACAATTTTTAAAAAGAAAAGAGGAGTAAAAAAAAATTGAAAATTAGAATGTGCGGGCACAAACATCAAGGATGAAGCTTTCATTCCTCCATGTGGATTATGCATCGAAGACCTTCCCCTTTAAGCATGTAATCAAATGCCTTGTTGATTTCTGAGAATGAGACTTTGTGGGTGATGAACTTTTCCAGCTCAAGTTCCTGCAACATAGTGGAGTTTACAATTCAATTGATGTGTGCATAAATAAAACTAAAACTAGTGTAGCACTTACACAGCAACTCATAACATAAAATTGGAAGAAGAGCATCAATGAAAATTAGCTTCAGCTTTAGCTAGCTTACATTATTCATGTACTTCTCCACAACAGAGGGAATGTCGGTTCGAGGCTTGTAATTTCCGAAGAAGGTACCCTTGAGAGTCCTCTCATTCAGAAAGTTCACGGGATGCGTCTTGAAGACGGCCTCTTTGTGTGGTACTCCCACAAGAACAGCAACACCCCAACCCTGGAATAGAATTTTTGTGTTCATCATAACAAGATCACATCGAAACTTAAAAGAGAGAAACATGGAGCCAAAGGATTAAGAACATACATCATGGGCACATTCAAATGCAGATATCATGGCTTCAACATTTCCAGTACATTCAATGCTTCTATCCACTCCTCCATTGGTCAGCTCAGCAATCACCTAATAAGCAATCCATAAGAAAAGCTCTTTAGAAACATGTTTAAGGAGGTACAAGGGAAACAATGTACAAAAAGAAATCCATGCCAGTAACAAACAAACCTCTTGAACTGGCTTTTTGTGATCTTTTGGGTTCACAAATTCGGTTACGCCAAACTTTTTTGCTGCAAACAATCAAGTTAAAACTCAGAGACACATGGAGAACATTTGCAAACATGAGAGTCAAAATATAGAAGCAGAAAACACATCTACTTCTTATGCATTGTTCTCTTTTCTGATAAAAGGAGGCTTATTGCAAGTCAAGTATATATCCTGAAATGCCAGATACTTTCCCAGAAATAAACAATTACTTTTAGGAATTATATATCTCACCCCCTTCAAATCTGCTGGAATTCAAATCAACACCAATAATTCTTGAAGCCCCAGAAATCCTGGCTCCTTCAGCAGCCTGAATCAGAAAACCATTTATACATTTATTTTCCATCATACACATAAACATACACCTAAACAAGCAGTGAAAGTGTCACATATATAAATATATGGCAGATAGCAAGAAATAGGAGAGACTCACTGCAAGGCCTACAGCTCCCAATCCAAAAACAATCCCTTTTTCGGTTTTGCAACATTAAGAGTAGCTCCCAGACCTGAACATATATCCAGATAATTAAAAAATAAATTCCAATTAAACATTAAGCAAAATTCCAATTAAACATTAAGCAAAATTCCAATCACACTTGTATATATGCATACCTGTGGAGATACCACAACTGAGGACACAGACTTTGTCCAGAGGAGCCAAGGGATTGATCTTGGCAAGGCAGCCAACATGAACAACAGTGTACTCACTGAAGGTGGAAGTCCCAACAAAGTGGTATATTGGATTGCCTTTAATTGAAAATCTTGATTTCCCATCACTCAGCATCACTCCCCTGTCAGTGTTTATCCTGAGGAGATCACACATGTTGCTCTCTTCTGATTTACAGTGAGCACAGTCCTTGCATTCCCCTGTGAACACAGGCAGGACATGATCGCCGGCTTTAAGATCCGTCACGCCTTCACCAACACTCTCCACAATCCTAATTTGTAAACACCAAAAAATCCACATAAGTTAATGCTACACCATACTATATGTTTCCTAGCTTCTGCTAAATTGAAAACAAGTTTGATAGAAATTTACATACCCTCCTGCCTCATGACCATAAATTCTAGGAAACAAAGGGTTTTGTCCCTGCAATATAGAAAACCCAATTCAGATTTTGTGTGCCATATTTGGTTCTTGGCTTTCATGATCATAAAGAAATCTTGCTTAGGAGAAAAATAATTATAATATAAAATAATATATAATAAATAAAAAGCACCTTGGCTTCCCAGAAGTAGACATCAGTATGGCACAAAGAAGTATAAAGGATTTTCAAACGAACTTCATTTGTCTGTGGTGGTGCTACCTCAACTTCTTCAATCACCAGTGGCTTCCCTGCTTCCCATGCTACAGCAGCTACATAAACAAAAACAAAACCAAAACCCCTTTACTCAATAAATCCCAGAAACATAAAAAAAAACAGCAAGCAAGATGATTCTATAAAATAGACAAGCCATCAATTTGTATACACATGGTTGGTTAGAGTATGATACCTCTGCAGCGTATGACCTGTCCAGCAGTATTAGAATTAGACATTCTTCCTTCTCTTGGTTACTGAGAATCCAATGAATGCAGCTAAGAACTTGAAATTGAAACTCTGAGAAAGCTTTGTAGTATGTAGTAGTGTTAAGTTTTTGGTGTGGTTGGAAATAAAGGCAGCATGTGTAGGTATTTATACATCATCCCATAAAGAAAAGAGGAGGCTGAATTAGTCTAATTTAATAGATTAAGGATATTGCTGTGTGATGTTGTCCTAGAATATTAGACTTCTCAACAATTGTTACTACCAATGGCAAAACCAAAACCATTCCTTGATTTCAGTTGTTAGGAATTTAGTCCCTGGTTTTACAGGCTGGTTTAGCGAGTCTCCAATCAGATTAATTTTCATTGATGATTACTACATAACTAAATAAAAATAGAAAGTTGCTCGATTATAGAATTGGAGGACTAGTGGTTTTGTCATCTTTCTGGTTAGCCAATGACTCCTCCTGATCAGATGCAGTCTATTTTAGATGATGATAAGAATGGTTTCTTGAGGCCTAGATTTGTTTCAGTGTAGTCTCTTTGGTTGGGGCTTTACCCCCTATTACCACAAAAAGAAAAAAAGACAGAAATACGAGGATAGTGGCGGTATTGGTATTGGACCACAGTCCCCGGTTTGGTCGATTCTTCTCTCTTTTTTTTTGATACGATTGGTCGATTCATTTGTCATAACAAAGAAGTACCAAAATAAATATCAAGCAACTTGCACCAAGAAAAAATTAAATATTAAGCAACCAATTACAGTAAACGCAGGCTGCACTGTCATGTCATCCTTTTAATATGCGAGACTAAAGTTAAAAATGCTGTCGCCCATGAATGATACAACAGAACTTGTTGGATTGACATTGAACCATACAAACTAGGACAAATGAACCAAGAGGCACAAGGGAATGGAGTCTAGCCTAATGAGATAATGAATAGATTTGCAGACTAGTAGTCTCATGTTCGAATTCTCATCGCACATCAGTAATCAAGAGGCATGAAGAAGAGTTTAAAATTGTTACTTTGATCTTTCCGATAATTACTCATAAAACGAGTTTGTGTATTGATTGAGAAATGTCAATAATCCAACTCACGTTTTGTACAGTTATCATTTGACTTGGAAAGAAAGAAACAAGAGGCACAGTAGTCATATTGATAAGTCCCTGTTTCAATTTTCAAACCCTGTTTTGATAAGAATAATTCTCGTTGCATAAAGTCTCTCGCAAGTGGGTTAAAAGATTACTGGTTTTATACATTTTTTTTAATGATGGATTCTGATTTTTTATGTAAGCACATTAAATTTGGAAAGAAAACAAGCAAGCTCGGATTGTTAATGGTTATACTTTATGGTTATTTACTATAGACGTCCCTGAACTTGGCTCCCATTTGAAATTGGGTTAGTGAACTTTTTTTTCGGCAATTACATCCGTTAACTCGATAAATAGTTCCAATTGAGTCCTTCCATCAATTTGGCCGTTAATTTGGAGTTTTTATCATAAATAACCAAAAATTAACCCCTAAATTCAAAAATGTCAGTTTTTATAAAAACTCTCAAATATAGCCAAAACCCCATTTAAATATACTCAAATACCCTTCAAATAAAAAAGAAAATAAATCCACATTAAAATGGGAAATAAATTAAATTTTTTTAAAAATGCATCTATAGCTTGTATCACTGGTCATGAATCACATTATAAATAAAACAAATCATTTTAACCTTCCTTGAATTGATAGAAAGAATGTCTGATCTGGAAGAAGGCACACCATTGTTCCATAGTTTCTTAGTTTCATCCCTAAGTTCAAAGTATAAAATGAAAAGAAAGCATGTGGAAGAAGGCACATCATTGTTCTATCCATCACGAGGGACTATTACCTCGTGAAGGCGGCAGTGTGAGGACTTCTAACATGGTTTGCTTCTTATTTGGGGTTAATGGAACACCTCTAACACCAGCAAAAGCAGCAATCAGAAGTGGTGATACCGCAAGTACAGTCTGCAGATCAAACTTTGGGGAACAAAGTACTGTCTCCCCAAAATCCTCTTCAAGTTTCTTATAAATCTCTGTCACTCTTCCCATCATGAACCTCAACATGAATTAAGTTTATAAGCAAGATTGCAATATAAGCTTGTGAAGCAAAGAAGACACATCGGATAAAAACTGATATGATGTGAACAGATGGTCCCCCATGGAGATTAACTATGTTTTTAGGTTATTTAAATTTTGAGGGCATTTTGACTATTTACATGAATTTTTGGCTATATTTGAAAGTTTTAATAAAAACTGACATTTATGAATTTGGGGGTTAAATTTTGGCTATTATTGATAAAAACTCGTTAATTTGAGGGCTAAAACCATCCATCTAAATTAAATATTTTAAAATTTTAAAATTTTAAAAATTAAAGAAAAAAACTGAAAAAAGTGAAGAAAAAACATTAAATTAAATTAATAAATAAACTTAAAAATAAAAAATCCAAATCCAAATCCCTCTCTCTCTCTCTTTCGCTCTGTCTCTCCTGGCCTTTGGAGGTGTAGCAGCAGCTTCTAGAATCCTCCGAGGACCTGCAAAGGTCTGTAATGTTGGTTGAAATTGACATTAATCTTGAACTGATGCACAAGTGAAGACTTTGAAACATTTAATCAGCATTGTTTGTCGCCAACCCTGATAAAGTCTATGATAGCTACACATGTGTCTATTTGGAATTCCGAGCTTCCACATTTTGTATCGATGCATTTATACATATTTAAAAGAATCTATACCATTTAATTGATCTAATGGAATTTAATTATTCCACATCATCATAATTGTATTAGATTAAAACTCCTCCCTTTGCACGTTATCACTTACTCATCTCTTCCTCTCCCATACTGATGCGCAGCCTTTCCCCTTTCTCTCCCACAATTAAATCATTTTTATAATTACCAAAACCTTGAATTTGATTCAAAAACTGATATCCAATTCGACCTGTCTCATACTAATAAATTATCTCTTTTAATGTATTAATTTTTTAAATTATAGACACTGTTGCTTCTTGAATTGCATATCGCTCTCTTTACTTTGTCTTCCGAATAAGACAATACGGTTGTATATCAGAATTCCTTCTCTTTATTTGCACATTGTTCATTTATGATTTTGCAGGTTTATTTTTGCTGTTGAAACAGTATAGTATTAAATATTAGAATTTGATGATATCAGTTCCTAGGCCTTGTTGAGAGCCACTCATCCCAAATAGAGAGAGAAAGAGAGAGAGAGAGAGAGAGAGAGAGAGACAGAGAGAGGTGGCAAGTTGGCAACGATGGCTGGCAGTGTAGGGTAAGTGTGGCAGTGGCTTGTTGGGGACATAATAAGGTGCAAATAATTAGTTTTTAGTTTAATACAATTTTGATGACGTGGATTTATTAAAATCATTAGATGAATTTTATGGTTTGCATTTTTATAAATACGTGTAAATGCACGGATGTTAAATACAGAGACTCGGAATCCGTCTATTTGAGCACTTGATAAAAAAGTCGTTATGATCCGGATATATGCCATTTGGCTTTAAAAAAACAGAAAATAATTTTTCTATGTGCTTTTTATATTTAATTTAATAGACTGAGAATTTAAACTCGAGATTTTTCTACACATTGAGAATAAAAACATTACTAGACTAAAAGTTAATTAATTTTATAATGTAGTTTAAGTCATTATTTTTTTCATTGATAGTTTAAGTCATTATACTTTTGGGTTTGTTTATCAGGGCTGGTCCTGGGTTTTCTAAGGCTCATGGCAAATTTCTAGAGTGTACCCCTTTAGATAAATTAAAAACTAAAATTACAACAACAAAAAATTATCAATAAATTAATTTTATTAGGTAACTTTTTTAATTTTTATAAAAACACACAAACAATAACAATAAAACTAATGAACAAAGAATAGTAAAACTTGGATTTTGAGTATCTTTTCTTCAACTCGAAACTTTAAATTTCCAATTATAAAGAACAAGCAGCTGCAGGGTAAAGGAAGAGATGGGTGAGTGATACGGTGCAGAAGGAGGAGTTTTAATCTAATACAATTATGATGAGGTGGAATAATGAAATTCCATTGGATCAATTAAATGGTTAAGAATTTTTTAATTCGTGTAAATGCACCGATACTAAATGCAAATACTTGGGATCCGTCTATTTGGGCACTTAATAAGTAAGTCGTTATGATCCTTATATATGCCATTGGCTTTAAAAAAATAGAAAATAATTTTTCTATGTGCTTTTTTATATTTAATTTAGTAGACGGAGAATTTAAACTCGAGATTTCTCTACGCATTGAGAATAAAAACATTACTATACTAAAAGTTAATTAATTTATAATGTAGTGTAAGTCATTATTATTTTCATTGGTAGTTTAAGTCATTATACTTTTGGGTTTGTTTATCAAGGGCAGTCCTGGGTTTTCTAAGGCCTAGGGAAAATTTCTAGAGTGTGTCCTTTTGGGTTGGTAACTCAATAGTATGTAGAATCAAAGGTGAAGAATAACAAGAAAAGCAAGGATTTCAAATATGGGTTCCTCAATCATTCAAATTCAAATTTCATATTAGAAAATATCAAAGGTGGGTAAGAAGAACAAGAAAACTCATAACACTCAAATTAGCTCTTCTTTATTGAGGCATCGAAGGTGATAAGGGGTCGACCTCTACCATGGAGTCGGAGGAGCCTGGGCAGCCGTTGCACTGCAAGTTTCCTGAACGTGTTTTCTTTCTTGCTTTTCTTTTTTAAAACTAATATATTGTGTTGTAAAAAAAAATATCCAATTAGGATTTTAATAGATTGTTTTGAAGCTTAAAAGTCTAGTGATATTCAATTAGAATTTTTAAGCAATCAATAAAAGTATGGTGATATTTGTTAACGAGGTTGTAGAGCACAAAATCGTAGCAAAATAGTGTAGTGGTAAGTGCGTATCGTTCCGCAGATACTAAGACTAATTAGCTGAATACTAATTATGATTAATCCAAAACTTTATATGGATGTTCGAATTGTGAGACTTTGATTTGAATTACATAAGCAATTAACAAGAATAACTAACAAAAACAATAATAAAATTCAGCAAACACTGATGGTATGAACACTAGGGTTCTGATTTCACCATAGCCAATTCTACCATATTCCTGTACTTAGTTAATCTTAATTATTATCCATGTTAATGGTAAATTTTCCTCAATATGACATGCTTGTCTATACCAAAAGTATTCCTACAACTGTCCCACTCTATGCCTAGATGAAGAACTAAGACGTAGAAACCCATTAAGTTCTATGGAAATTTATGGAAACCATACAAGCCTCAATTAACTTTCCAGTACACTCAAGTAACCTGTGGTATCAATTATTAAAAGCAAAATCCTAAGTTGGATATTCCTATCGTCAACTCAAGCATCAAATCAATTAAATGGAAATCAAGCACTCAAAGCATTAAGAATAGTACGTAAAAGATACTTAACATAGAAAATAATATCAAATTAACACAAACACATAATAAGGTATTCATGGCTAGGCTACATCGTAGACCTAGCAAAAAGGAAATTAGAACATGATAAATTATTGAAAATCACAAAGTGGTTGATGGTAGACATGAAGATGAACTCGAAAACTCCCAAAAAGCTCTAAGGTGGCCGGCGGCAGCAGGACTTCTCTTTGCAAGAATTGGGTATTTTTGGGTAGTGAAAAGTATGGATCCCCTCTATGAGGCCAGCCCTATGCTATTTATAATACACAAATCCTTAACCTAGTTACAATCAAATACTACCAAAAATAGGTTTCCCAATATACTTTTGATTGCTTCTCCAAATTCCACAAGGATTTGACCAAACTTCCTCCTTTAAGCTTTGACCGGTTGATTGCCTCCTAAGAAACATCTTCTTTGTTTCCAATTAATCCTTGTCATACATCTTAATGGTTTTTGAGTCCAATTTGACAACTTTCGTCCAATTCCTCTAATTAGGGACCAACTACACAATTCTCACAAAATTCATTAAACCCAACAATTTAATCCAAAAAAATCAATAAATAAATAAGCAAAGGAGGCATAAAATATATATAAAATATGGACTTATCAGTATTCAATTAGGACTTTTACAAGATAAGAAAAAGAAAGTCCCAAATTTTAACGATGTGTAGTTACTTGGATACTCTTAAGCAAATAAAGTATGCTTAAATCTTCTTTTACTGATGCACCAATATGAGCAAACAAAAGTAAAGGTTAGACTTTTATTTAGTATGTAATAAATACCATTGCATATATAACTTGATAAACTTCAGCCAAAAGAAAATATACAACTTGATAAATTTATATAGTTCATTTCATGCAAGTCAAATTATAGGAGCAACACAAGCCAAAAAAAAATATATATATATATATATATATTCATATAGGCTTGTAATTAAGCATTAATCAATTTCTTTAATTTTTTAAGGAGTTTGAGCAGCTGACAACAGGAGAAAGGAAAAGGAGAGGGGGGGGGAGGGTATAATCAAATTACAAAGACTTACTTTGAATCAAATTATCAAAGAAAAAAAAAGTATGCAACCCCTTTACTTATTAATTGATAAATTGGTAGCATAAATGGGGCAGAGTGGAAAGGTGTATAAAGCAAAATCATAGGTCTGCATATATATAAAACAAAAATGAACATATAAAACGTATTCACAGGGACCAAAAGCAAAACATAAATGAGAACCACCGGACTTGTGCCCACACCAAAGCAACATAGATAATACAAATAATATAGTCAAAAGTATGAACAATAGAGACAAAAAAAGAAGAAGGTATGAGAGCATACATGAGAACAAGTATGTGAAGAGATAATAACCATCAAGAAGATGAGAAGCAGTAACCTTGTTTATCTTCTCAAGTGTATGTTCATTTTCTCCCAAAATAAAACCAACGTGAGAATCAGACATAAGAAGGTGAGATTTTTTATGGGGTTTGGTATTTATATTACCCACACAAAAGTCTCACACAATACATCATTTAATGAAATACCTCAAAATCGGTAAGTTTTTTAATACCATAATACAATTTCTTATCTTCTAAAAGTCACAACTAAATACCACAAGACTTGTAT